AAATTAAACATATTATTATTGATTTTACAATAGATGTAATAAATTTGATATCTTTTCTTCTTTTTTTTACGTGTATTTAGGAAAGCTATTTTTTTCTTCAGTTTTGAGTAAAATTTTTAATACAAGTATATTTTTGATATTATTACAAACTACTATTATTTTAAAATATAATATACCAACTAGAGGGGGTGCGACAATATATAAAATCTTAATTGTTTCATCATATCATTCTAATCCTTATTTTATAGTTAGAAAATATTTCATTTCTAATATGGCATCCTTGCCGTGTAAATAACTCCAGGCTTCAATATATTTGCATAATTATTTTTTCCAAAGATTTTTAGTGTTTTTATTTTATCATTTTATCCAACATAATAAATTCTGATATTAGTTTACATCGTGAGTGTCATGGCTATTACTGCAAATTAACCAGCAATTATTTGTGTTGCCCTGTAATTTAATATTATAATTACAGCTGCTGAGTGCATATGATAGCATATTTTATAAAAAATAATGGTCAATGTCTAGTCGTTTATATATCATTTAAGATGAAGATAAACTTTTAGAAATTTTAAATCTTACAATAATTTTCTCGATTACTTATCTAGCTTCCATCATGTCATCTAAAAGGAAGCTCTAACCACCATATAGTTTTATGATTTGGATTGGTCGTTTATACTCTCTTCAAGAATTGTTGATTTGATTTAGGCCGCATTCATAGTGGATCCGATCCTTACACGATTTAACAGCTGATCGATTTTTAAAATCGGTTCGTGAGAATCAATTTTTCTTTATTAAAACCAATATTTCTTAGGTTATTATGATATATAGAATTAAAGACAAAATTAATATTGTTACAAACAAATTGATCTCATAAACAGATTTTAAAAATCGATCAGCTGTTAAATCGTATCGGATCGGATCCACTATGAACGCGGTTTTAGGCTGCATTCAAAGTGGAGATCGATCTGTTTTTTAAATCCATTCCGTCAAAGGTCAATCTCATTAAATGTGATATATATGTTCAAAGTGCGTCCGTTCCGATACCTTCCGTCTTAAATACGTACCGGCAAATTTTTGATCCGGCAAATTTTATAGAGCGTTATAACGTTACTTATAATTTTTTAAAAATAAAAATCAATATACATATCATTTTTAATGAGATTGACTTTTGACGGAACGGATGTAAAAACGGATCCGTCTCCACTTTGAATGCAGCCTTATCTTTCCTTATTAGTCCATTCTATAAAGCATTGTCTAAAATGGTAACAGAGAGTTATATTAGCTTAATAATCTTTTGTCAATGTAAGTTGCTAAGAATTTTATTATTGCATTATGTGGTTTTTAAAAACTATTATCAATTGAGGCATATGTATAAATTAATAAATCTTTTTTATCACTTGTAATTCTTTAGACGGAAAATTTTTTTCAGCAATCTAAAATATTTTATAATGTAATAGATTTTGTATTAAAATATATTATTTTTAGAAATGTCTTATATTGTTTTAAGTTGCCAGTTTATTTTGTATGCATAATATAATAAATGATAAAATATGAAAATCAGAATAATTGTTCAAAGTTAACAAATTTTATAAAGTATATATAAAATCGGCCGAAGGGCGGGGAATAAAATTTTTTTTGATAGCAAAGGCTATCTCAGGGGGCCCTGTCTAAAATATGCTTTCATATGCTCTCAGCAGCTGTAGTAATAATCTAAAATTACATAGTAATTTTAAAAAATAGGTGCTGGTTAATTTGCAGTAATAGCCATGACACTCACGATGTAAACTAATATCAGAATTTATTATTGGATGGAAGAAATAATTATGCAAATATATTGAAGCCTGGAGTTATTTACACGTCAAGGATGCCATATTAGAAATGAAATTTTTTCTAACTATAAAATAACCAGAATGATATGATGAAACAATTAAGATTTTATATATTGTCGCATCACCTCTAGTTGGTATATTATATCTTAAAATAATAGTAGTTTGTAATAATATCAAAAATATACTTGTATTAAAACTTTTTTTAGAAAAAAAAATAAAAATAGCTTTCCTAAAAACACGTAAAAAAGAAAAGAAATCAAATTTATTACATCTATTGTAGGATAAATAATAAAATGTTTAATTTTTAGAATTGTATAAAACAAAATAGATGGCGTTAAATACTTAAATGCAAATTGTTACTATATTTTTTATCAAAAGCATTTATTAGTAAAATTCATTATAATATTAATTGTAATATATTATTTAACTAACTGACAAATACATCTATAAAAGTGGCATTTTATCTAATATTTTATAAATAACTGTATATAATAGAGGATTATAAACTATATATTTAATTACTTACTTTTTATAAAGAAATCTTTTATACTTATTTGAACCTTGAAAATATTTTTAGGAATAGGTATGATAATAATATTTAAAAATAAATATACAGTTGATTAGTCATTTTGAACTCGGCTAATTACAATATAAAATTTTTTAGTTTTCAATTAATAAATGATTATATTTATTTAATTATGGTTATATAATAATTTAAATAATAATTGTCAATTAAGCTTCTGTTAATGCTGAATTAATATTTAGTGAGTGATATTGATATTCTATTTTTAACACAAAATTTGATTGCAAGCTGACATAGTGAAAATAAAATTTATATGTATTAATCTAATCTAATATGTAAAATAGTAAAAATTTAATAAATATTTATACAGTCTTATTAATTTAATAAAATTAAATCTATATACTACGTAATAGAATTATAAAAAAAATCGTACAGTGGGCAATAAAAAAAATTTATTTTTAGTTCAAGGGGTTAAGATTCCAATAAAAAATTTATTTTCTGCTTTAGGGACTATTCAAATTTTTCAGGGGGCTCGAGCCCCTGCGCCCCCTCTCCCTCCCTAGTGACGCCACTGATTTAATTACATTTATTTATCACAATCTATTAAGATATTTTATTAATTAATTTCGATTTCAAGTTTTTAGCGTAATATTTACCTATTATTTTCTAATACTAGTGGTATAATATTTATCTAAATTTCTAGTCAAATAATAATTATTTCAGAAACTCCTTGTCTAACAGGGAGAAAGAGATTGCAAGTTTGTCCAACGAGCTCGAGTCTCCGCCATCAAGCAATAATAGTTTTTATAGAGTTAGAAGAGCCGAGTATTAAAGCTATTACTGAAATATCATAATGGTTTGAAAGAAATATCTCCTAAGAAGCAAGAAAATTATTGAATTCAATGCACTTATTATGACGCATGACGTATTCCAAATTTTTCTTATAAGAATTTATTATGTAATTATACAACTATTTTATGTAATACTTTTCAAAAACATGACATAGACTTGATTAAGATGAGAATAGCGGAGACCATTTTATTAGAACTCAAGGAAATTAAAGCTAATGTTGATGAAGAATTTCATATTTTATATGTTTTTACTTGCAACAAGCAAGCTCATCGTCAAAACATTAATATAGGATCAGTAGAAGAGTATTATAAAACAAATGTCCCATATCTTAGATAAATTTATAACCCAGATAAATGAATAGTTATTAATTCATGCAGAACTTCCACAAAAGCATTCCCAACCTTTTTCAGATGGTGATAGAAAAAAAAAATTAATTAAATTTTTATCATGAAGATGTTAAAGTATCTTATGATGCCTTATTAGCTGAATAAATATTATTAAAAGATTAACTATGGTTGATATAATCCCAAAAAATGCTATGGATGCTTTGATTTCAAACACATTTTAGATTATATTTCCAATGTATTATAATGGTTATATATATACTTCCCATTAGTAAACTAATGAGAGAATTCTCTTTTTAAGAATAACAGAGCTCTGCAGAAGTTTTATTTGCAGAGCACGGCCCTAATTTTTTTTTTAAAATTTTTTCGGCCCAGCCCGGGGTTTTAAAAAAATTTTTTTTAGGCCAAGCTCGGCTTTTAAATTCAGGCCCGATCAGAATTTTTCTAAAATAAATTATATTTATTTTTTATTTTTATAGGTAATAATGGCGATTTCAAATATTTATATAGCCCAGCCCGGATATTTTTTTTAAAAAAATTTTCAGGCCCAGCCCGGGTGTTTTTTTTAAAAAATTTTAGCGGCACGGGTATATTTAAAAATATTAAAATATGGTCCATCCCGGGTGCTAGGCCTGCAAGTCTCTGAAAAACATACCTATGAAGCAAAACTTCTGAAAGTAGATTAGATGGTTTAGATCTTTTGAATATTTCTAGGCATTTAACGCTAAGCAAGGATGAGATAATTTAAAAATTAGATCAAAACATACAAAATTCAATTATTCCTCAGAAACCTTTTGTGTATTAATTTATATTTCCAACATTTAAATTATTTATACTTTATATATATATTTTAAAGGCTCAAAAATTTCCCAATTTCTATTTTGGGTCATTTAAGTGATTCATATGGTGGTTATATTCACTTTATATTTTATAATTCACATTTATTTCTAAGTTTTTCAATGTCGCTATTTATATCCGTTTAATATTTTTTAATTCACATTTATTTTATAGCTTTTTATATGCCTATACATATAATTTTTTTATAATTCACATTAATATTTAAAATTGTGTATAAGAAAAGTTATTAGTCCTAATAAATTTATGCTCAATGATATATCTTAAAATTTTTATTACCCCCCCCCCCCCCCCCCCCCATACCCCAGACCAAATTATTGCGTACGCGTCTGCTTGGTATAATTCTAATATCAAAGATTGCATACCAAGGCAAGGAGTAAGTGACACTGGTCTTTTATTGTGAGAGATATTTCCCAAACTATTCCTTAAAACTAATTTAAAAAACATGTGATTTTCATTTTATTTTCAAATAAATATTCTTTTTCTCCTAAAATATCGTTAAAATTATTTTGAGCATTTGAAAATTTTACTTATTTGCTCTTTATACCATTGACTGACGCTCTATAAATAAATGGCAATCTTGTTTTATACCAAGCACAATATACCAGTTAACATTCAAAACCATTAATTTTAATTTTGTATATATCACAGCGACATGGAATCTCAATATGATAGGAATTCTAATAATTTAGCTGAATATTTCGTTGTTGCAGGGCTTCCAGAAAAAGATCCAGAGTTATTGGAAAACTGTATTCCAGCTGAGATGGAACCACCACAGGAATTTAAATCAATTCCTCCTATAATTGAATTGGCTATAATATTTAGAAGCCTGGGAGAAGAAGTGAAAACGAAATATTTTTATTATTATATATATAATTTTAATAGCCACCTCCAGGTTTTGTTGTTATTGAAAACACTCCCACAGGGTATCCCGCAGATTTAAATCACGGAAGTTTAAGAAGTCCAAATGTATATCTTTGTTATAAAAGGGGACGAGAAAAACCTCCAATAGTTGATATAGGGTATTTTTAATATAAAATATATTACTCATTCTATAAATTTTATTTTTTTTAAAATTTTATATTAAAATTATATTAGAGTATAAAATAATAAATGTTATGATAATTTAGAGTATAAATAATAAATCTTATGATAATTAGAATATAAAATTATTTTAAGATATTATTTTGATATGCTTATATAGGGGCTTCTATATGGGGAGTGAGGGTTATGGGAAAAAAATTGATTGAAATTGGAGGAGGGTAGGCAGTTATGATTACAGTATCATTATTTTAAAAAAAGTTGAAGGAAGGCTTGGGATAGTTTGTATTTGAATTTATTTTTTTTGTTAATTTTGATCTGGTAAGAAGTTGGTAAATTCTAAAGGGGCAAGGAGTGATATTATCATTCACTGGGGGGAGGGATATGGGTTTAGGAGTCTAATTAATTTAAAATCTGATTTTTTAAAAATTTAAACATATCTCATAAGGAAGCTTTACACTTTTAGAATTTCATAGCAATAATTTATTCATAATATGTTTTTCAATATATGAGTGCATTTACATTAAATGTGTTTAAAATCAGGAAAATTTATTTATAATTTATACCTCATCCAGACTTTATATTTAAATACAATAAAATTTTACTTTATTTGTTTTTTAAAACCTAATCTTTGACTAATAAATTACAAAAATTAAAAATTTTGAATATAGAAATAATAAGTAAAAAAAAAGAAGAAAATAATGAAGAAAAAGGGAACATTCAAGATATAAAATTTGGCAAAATTACAATTTATTATATACTTAATAATCTTATCAAATTCATATTCATAATATATGCAAGTAAAATTGTATAATAAATTTCATATAAAAATTTATATGATTAAGTATATATAATTAAATTTAAATAAATTTGATTTCTTCTGGAAATTTAATTTAATGTAAAACCAAAAAATTTATTGATTCAATTATTTTCTTATATGTTTTTTTGCATATTTTACTATGTATAAAGTGAAACTTTTTATTGTTATCTTTTGTTATACAATTTTTAAAGAATTATATAACCATAAGTAATACAAAAATCTGAATCCCATAAAATATTTATCTGATTGAAAATTAAAATTTTAAAAATATTTCTCATATCTTGCCCTAGATCAATGAAGTATGTTAAGAATTTTGATGCAGAATTCAGGAATTAATGTTTTCAAAAGTGTGTGGCCATGATGCATTACTAAAATTAGCTGAGTTTTTAATGTATCTAGACACAAAAATAACGTATTTGCTATACTTTTATAAAAGTGTCCATATATAGATACTATCTTAGAGGTGTCAGAATTTGTTTTAGATACTTTTAAGTGGTATACTGTAATTTAATGCCTTTTTTATATTAAAAATAAAATATTTGAATGCAAAATTCATTTTATCTCATATGAGCATATAATTTAAATGGATATATAAAAAATATTAAGACTAATATTATAAAAAATTAAAAAATATTATACAAAATATTTAAACTTATATATAGAATATTAAAACTTATATATAAAAATATATTAATTAAATATCATTTGTCCCCATTTAAATCTATAGATATCAGTTCAAGATTCTAAAGGATATTTTTATCACTTAAAGTAATATATAAATAATTCCTGCTTAGCCATGACGTCCATTAATGATTAAAAACAATACCATTGATGCACAAAATTATTTTAAGCAAATAAATTTATTTAGAATTTTTAATTTATAGATATTTCATTAAAATTAACAAATTATAAGTTTAATATAAATTTTTTTTAATAATAAATGCTCGTTTTAAATGAGAATTCATTTAATTATTATTTTTATATATGGTGTTCGAATTGACTGAGAATAAAATATTAAAATGTTGTTTACGTATTTTGTGCCATCATAATCAGAGTTTCTGCTCGAGAATAACAATGAACCCTATATATAAAGAGGATAAAATAGTATATGTATCTAGATTCATTTTAGTCGATGTATCTGTATATAGATCCATTTAAAATGTATCTTTTAACAACTCATAAAATTAGTAATTCAGTGAGATAATTCATGCCTAATTTTATTGAGAAGGGGTATCAAAAACGTAAAAATGTATTAATTTCTATTCAAAAAATAATGGAATAATAAAGTAAAAAAATAAAATGTTTTTATAGTATTAAATACCTAAGAATAATATCGAACGATCAAATAATGAGGATATAAAATACAAATCTAATAAAATCGAAATGAATAATTTGTTCCCGGCCTATTTTAAAGTGGGAAATTAAAATGAAAATTTCTCTTATCCAAATTCTAAACGCTAATAATGTAAACGTTATAAATTGGGAGATTATATAAGCTGATTATACTGTCATGTATAATAATGATAGATTGAAATATTAAATTCTATGGTTTATGGCGAAAAACAGATTATATTTCATTCTATCTTTAAACACATCCTAATTGGAAAATTATTTTTTATTATTATATTTAATTTTGTCAATTAGTAATTGGCTAATAACTTTCTTTAGGACGTACCTTACATTTTAGGTGCACGCCAATTCTTTACATTCTTTTTTTTTGAGACTTGCCGATTAACATATTAACAAGATTTACAAGGGTATAAGACCGCCGATATATTGTTTTTAATTTTTTTTAAAATTTACTGTGGATCCTTACATTATAAACTGCTTTTAATTAGATTCTCCTGACGATGATCATTGTCGGGCTAATATCTATTTGATAATGATGAGCTAATTTGTACTTTAATGAATCTAGCTTTCCATCACTTCTGCATCAGTTTCATTATTGCTGGAGCTACGCTTTATTTTGGTGGTCTCTGTCATGTTGATTCTTGTCCATCAAGAATTTTTAAATATTCAAAATAAGTTAAATATGAGATTTTTTTAAAATATAAAAGCACTATCCTTTTTTTAAAAATGGATATTGATATAAGGAATAGGAATCATATTCGAATTATACTTTGTTAAGAGATAGTCACTGTACCTTTACAAAAAACAAAATCAAACATAGTATAATCATACCTTTCAATTAAAGATAATTTCTGCCGCCTCTTTATTAAAAAAATTTTAATACACTTTTAATGGCTTCTGCTTTAGTAAACCATAATTATATTTTACATTATATACAAGGATTCCATATATCTTTGATCGTACTAGAATTATTACAATTTTTTAAAAATTAAATCAAAGGTTTTTATGACGGTGAAATAATATTACAAATTTTAATTTTTAAATGACCATAATTATAATTTTAATCCTACGGAATCTATCAGAATTTTGTAAAAAATGACAGTATGACGGATCCGGGCAAATTGTTTATATCCGACGGGTTCTTGAATTTTATTTATTTCTCAGCTTCAAATTTAAAACAATTCTAAATGGGGAAACGACATTTTTTGTTTTTTAGTATCAAGATTAGTTTTGTTAAACGGTTGATTTTAAAAAACGAGTAACCCAATATTTTAACCAAAAAAGATTATGCAATCCTAGAGATTTTGCTAACAGATGGCAGAAGGGTTTGGGCATCTATTAGAGAAATCTTTCCTTTCCTTTCCTTTCCTTTCCTTTCCTTTCCTTTCCTTTCCTTTCCTTTCCTTTCCTTTCCTTTCCTTTCCTTTCCTTTCCTTTCCTTTCCTTTCCTTTCCTTTCCTTTCCTTTCCTTTCCTTTCCTTTCCTTTCCTTTCCTTTCCTTTCCTTTCCTTTCCTTTCCTTTCCTTTCCTTTCCTTTCCTTTCCTTTCCTTTCCTTTCCTTTCCTTTCCTTTCCTTTCCTTTCCTTTCCTTTCCTTTCCTTTCCTTTCCTTTCCTTTCCTTTCCTTTCCTTTCCTTTCCTTTCCTTTCCTTTCCTTTCCTTTCCTTTCCTTTACGTAATATAAAAATTGGCATAATCCGTTAAAATAAAATTAGTACTTTAACTCTGCCATATAGGATATCGTATTACATTAAATGACTAACTACCTAAGAATGTTGTAATAAGCTAACTTGTTTTTCGAAATTTATTATATCAAAATAAACTAGAGTGATGTACGAGGGCAAAGAAAGAGTCATGCCCGGCTGTGAAATCCTATTGTATTCCCCTTATGGCCGACCAGCCAATGTTAACAACAGCGGGGCCAGGACCTACATAACGTACAGGAGAGCGTACGTATCGGCGTCTCCCAACGAACTTACAGTATCCGACATTTGCGTCGTTTTGTTAAACAAAGTTTCTTTATTTTTATTTTGATTTTGATTTGAATATTAATATTTGGATACTATTTAAATGTGTATGAAAAATCTATTATTATCCATTTTTTAATCGAAAAACATCATTATCATAATTTAATCTATAAGTGTAGAAAAGATTATAGTAGATAAGTATTAAATTCTTTATCGAAATTTGATGATAATTTAAAAAATATTAATATTATATATAAATTTTTTTGTTAGAGATATATTTATAAAAATATGGGGGAAGGGCTGAATACCATTTTCTAAAATATATTAATCTTTTTACATAAAAATAACTTTGAAAAACGTTTAAAATGTTGCATAATTTATAGATTTTTTAGAAACTTTATATTTTTGACTTTGAGCCCCCACCTCCCCACCCCCTTAAAATAATTCTTTATTTTTATGTCATTCAAATTTATATCAACCGCATTAAAACCTGAACTTAAGAGATCTAATTCAATTAACAATATATTTGTATTTAATTTTCACAAATCATATTTTAATGCTCACAAGCGTTTATCCTTGTGATTTCTATAAAACGCTATGATGTTTAAATTGATGATATGGTAACGCAAACTATTTTACCTCTTTTTAACACAAAAAAAACTTATTTACTAGATTGCATATTATCATTTTAAAGTAAGAGAAATGTGCCATGAATGGCCATGTTTGCTTTTTTGAAAAAGGTATTAAAATTTGGGTATAACCAAACAAATTTTATATCAATGTATAGCCTAATTATTAATCTTTAAAATAAGATTTGAATCAAAGCTATATCTATAATAGTTTATAAGCTAGATGAGATTATGTGTAAGTTGTTTTTATGGTCAGTCATTACATACATACTATGTATTGACTGGCCATATACTATGTGTTAACTGGCCATAATATATTATTTAAGAATTTTATTATAAATATGAAATAATACAATATAAAATACTTGTAAAAGATCTATGTAAATATTTCTACTTTTTTTAGTTATATAAAAAATTCCACACTAATTTAATTAGTATTAATATCTCAATTTATCACCATCTATTTAATGATAATATTATAAATTAATATCTTAATTATCTTTTTGCTAAACATTCTTAAGCTTGTTCATCATTTGAAATTTCACCTAATGTTGTTTTGCAAGAGCTTTTTATTTCAATATGAATATGTGAATGTGCGAATTGTGGCCAATCAATACATGGCCAGACTTCATTATTATGATAATGCTATTATGATTTTGGAGACCCTTCCCCCTTTTTGGTTAATGATGCTTACTACCTTAAGGTACTACCTATCAAATTTGAATTTTGTTTATTTTTCATTTGGATAGGTACTACCAAATATATTTATAATATATATTTGAAAAATCGTAATTTTTGGAAAGCCTCTATGGCCCAGTAGGCAAGAGCTTCGCTTACTGATCCCATGGTCATGGGTTCGAATCTCGGGAATGGTCATGTTTTTTTTCTTAATCTAACTTGGTGGTTCCATCCTTGGGGGGATGATATATAGGAGGCCAGACTCGACCACGTGATTCCGTTATAATATATTAAATAATAAGGGTCTTATTACATTTTAATAAATTTTGGTCAGTATTTAGCAAATTAGGTTGGTATTTAGAATATTTCCATACATTCACTTGTAAGCATCATTAACCCCCCTTTTCTCCTTTAGCCTAATTTATAACTTTAGTTTCAGGTGGAAGGCTTGGCTAGTTGAAACCTTACTGCAGAGAATAGTGCTTCCATTGTTTCAAAAAACGGCTCGAACATGCATTTTTCTGAAGCATAATAAAAATTTCCTTCCCAGATTAATTTAAATCATTAATGTATTGGTCAGACTTTTCCTATCCTAGGGCATATATTCTTTGTAATGATTGATTCATCGAAATTCCCCACAAAATCGCTTCCTTCCATGTAATAAATTTACTTTCAGACTTTTCCTATCCTAGATCATATATTCTTTGTAATGATTGATTCATCGAAATTCCCCACAAATTCGCTTCCTTCCATGTAAAAAATTTACTTGTTTAATGAATTGGTATGTTAGTATTAGTGAATTATTAAATAGTTCGATTTAACCCATTTTTTAAATTAAGATTTTAGCAAAAATATTACATAGTCTCGAGATTTCGTCAATAGATTCCAATGAGCAAAATCTTCAGTATCTGTGTTATTGAGGGTGTAAATAACCCTGATAAATGTATTTTTCAAATATCATTGGCTTTAGCCATTGGTTGCAAAATCTAATTTTTAAATTGTAATTTTTTTATAAAACAATTTAAATTTACACTACAATAATTTGTATAAAATCAGGATCATGTGTTTTGAATCTACTCCAACTTTAATTAATCACATAATAAATTAAATTCTATAGGCATTTCATTTAAAAATGGTAATATTTTATAAGCGATTTATGCCTTACCTTGTTGTAAAGGGATGTTGGTAGTTGACAATTTATTCTCTTTTTAATTATTTCAGATAATGACTCAGATTTATTTTATATATACTACAAACGTTGGCATTTTGACGTGGCAATGTTATATGTGTTTTTATAATCATCATTTTATTAAAAGAACTTTGTAGCATCTTGTGCTACCATTAATTTACTATATGATCAATACATCTTCGGTGGTTGGAAAGGTAGTCGAAGTCATCTTGCATAATATTTTTTGGCCAAATTAATGGGTTAATCCTTTTTAAAAATTGAGCCATTTAACAACACTAATAGCTAGTTAAATCCAGAGTTGTTAATCGCTACTTTTAAAAGTAGCGCGCTACCACTATCGCTATTTGTCAAAAAATTAGCGCGCTACTGCTACGCTAATTGTTAAAAAAAGTAGCTCGCTATTAGCTACTATTTTTAAAAAGTAGCTTTAGCTACTTTTAGGCTACTTTTTATAAAAAAAATTAAAAAAATTTTTTTATTTTATTTTGCATTAATGTAATTGTATAGTAAATAATATATAAAAATCAACATTTATAAATATTAAAATATAGTTAATTTTGATTATAAAAAAATTTATGTAATAAATTTTAAATATTTATGGTAATTTGTTGAATTTTAATAATAAAATCATTTCAATATTATAATCCCCAAGTCTAGAGCGACGATCAGAAAGTATTAGTTTTGCCTTACTAAATAATCTCTCTGTGTCTCACCTTCAGCATTATCCTCACCAAATATTCTATATTCATATTAAATAGAATAAATTATTCATCCCGTTTTTAATAGAAATGTATAGTGATATTTATCAAAAATGGAGTGGTAAAATCATTAGGTTGCTATTCAAAATTTTAAACCTCAGGAATTATGATGTAACTAAGTAAAAATATTTTATCAAATGAATACATTGAATTCCATGTACTGTATATAAATTGATGGATATTAATCAATAAGAAATAAATATAGTAAAAATCTAATCATCCATGAAATATTCTATAACCATATCATATTAAATGTTAAGCTCAATGACACTGTGCAATAAAAACTAATGAAATAATCCATCTCTGTTGTAAATTTTATTAGTTAAATTCACTAATTTTTTTATAATTTGATATAAATTGATATAATATTACTAAAATATGTATGTATTTAGTTAATAAAAATTCTCTATATAATGTGAAATATTAAACAACTTTTAAATAAATACTGAAAAATTTAATTAATAACTTAACTATCACTTGATTTAATTTTATTACTCTAAATATTTTAAAAATTAATTTATAATACTGAAGGCCTTCAGCTAATTGGACCCATTATCGGTCACCATCTTGCAAATTTTATTATGAATCCTAAAAGACTTGTGGACGTCTATGACAATAATTTTATTTGCAAGCACATCGTATGTCTGGCATTATCCTTTTGAGGGCTAATGCTACTGATCTTCTTTTTAAAGTCCTAGGGTCTAGCCAATGGCCCGTGATTCCCAATAAGCTTTAAAAATATTTAATCAGATCAATTTATAAATATAAATAAGTGTTTACCTTCTATTATGTGTCCAACTATCTGTCGTGGTACATATATGAGATATCTCTGATAATTCTACTATTAAAGCATCTTTCATCACTTTAAACTTATCTGCTATTTTATTCACAAGTGTCTGGCGACATAAAATAGTTGTACCAGGTGATGAAGTTTTAATCATCATAGTAAAGGATGGATTATCAACCAAGGACATTGGCTGAACTGTATCAATTATAAGAACCACAATAACTTTATCAGTTAATTTCTGAGAAATATTAGCATTTGTATTATTAATTAATTTTGTCTAAATGGAATTAGTCTTTTTAGATATAGATTCACCTATGTCAAATTTATTTAAATGTTGTTCAATTTTCTTAAAACTATTAGCATATTTACCTTTAGGTGTTTCTTGAGGTTATAGACTGGTTTGATTTGAGGAAATATTTTTCTTACATTTTAAACATAAATTTGAAGCCAGTTTTAGTTTTAATATTTATCTTGAAAAATTTTTGAAATCTAGGGAATGGGAAAGTATTGCTATGAATATTATTTTCTTCCCTGGTATCTTCCATTTCATTAATATCATTGTCTGACTCTGAATCACTTTCAACGATTTGGATATCCATATGAGATGCCATTTTAAATTATTAACAGGTGATTTAGGTTTATAATACAAATTGGAAATATATTTCAATTTCAAAATTAAATAATAAATCATAATAATTATAATTAATCATGGTATTATATTTAAATTTTCGTGCTTATACTTACATTCATTATATTTTTTAAAAAAAGTAGCCGCTATTAGCTATAGCTACCATAAAAGATAGCGCGCTACTTTAACAATTCTGGTTAAATCCTAGGAATATAACATTTTTCTATAAAAGGTGAGTATTACATTGCGTAGATACGTTAAGAATGATATCATTTTAGAATGTTTAAAGATTTATTGATAAACGTTATCGTAGTTTATATTGGTCTTTAAGGACTATTCGTTGATTCCAAGTCATTGCTTGCCTATGGCTTAGCTGTTATGTCATCCGGAATTTTTGGCGATATATTCTTCCATAAAATATAGAAGGAAATCGTTCAAGAATTTTATTTTACCTTCATTTAAATAAAAAGTTTTGTTAAAGATTAACTTAAATAAAAGTAAGTGGATTTTCCTAAAATTTGAATAAATCAATCTAATCTTTTTTTTACCAAGATTATATTCTCCAGGATGGTAAAATTTCGACTAATTGTGGTTTTTATTATAATTGTAAAAAAGGGTGTATTCATTATCCCTGACAGTATCAACTATTCAGCCCCCCCCCTCCGAAGCTAAAACCTTAGCATTAGGTCAAAAACGAAAAAGAAAAGGTTCTTCAAAGTCACAAAAGAATTAGCATCGCAACTTATTTACTTGTATATATAATTATAATTTATGAAAATTAAATATAAAAATAAACATTGCTTGGAATTGATTTAGCTTTCATAAGTTTAAATTCAGCTGATCTGATTCGATTGACATGGATAATAATTTGGGAATGAGGCTCAAAATATGTTCCTAATTATGTAACATTTCGGCATATTCTTTAACCATGAATACGAGTATTTTTTTAAAATTTGATGTTAAAAATTTAATAAAATATGTGGTTTAACTTTAATGTAACTTTAGACTCTATTTTTCAAACCACTATTCTTGCATTAGCCAAAAATGTTTTTTAACGTTATTTTTATATGAAAAGATTTTAAAAAAAAGAGAATATATGAATTCCTTAAAAGTCGCACCTTTTTTAAAACCCATATGGACATGAGCTAATTTACCATATTTCACACCATAAAAAAATTTCATACATATTATTTGTATTTTTTCTTATATTTACATTAAATTTTTATAAGAAATTTGATACTTAATTTATTATCTACTATCCTCCTTTTTTTACAATAACTTAAAATTTTTTTAATGAATGCAATACACTTTTTTAATTTAAATATGGATTAATTATTTTTTGATTAAATAGTATCCCTTAATATTATTATATGATTGCAATACAACTGATTTGTTGTATAGTATTGTTACACATAGGGGTGTACCGATACCACTTTTTGGAGGCCGATGCGATCCGATATTCTCGATATTAAATTGTTATCGGCCGATTACCGATCCGAGATCATATCTAATTTTGTAATCTGTAAAGATACCAATGGTTTTAATTTTTAATATACTTTTTATTGGTATAACATCTATATTTTAACTCTACCATAACTTATGTCATTTGAATATATTATAATGATCAGTTATATTCAATTTAATTGCAATTCTAAAAGTGTTTAAAATATTTTTATTGTTAAATCACTTTTATATAACATTAATCTATATACATAATAAGTAATAAACAAATATATTATGAAATTTGGAATATATCGAAGATTTCTTTTTAAAAATACCAAAATTTCAAATTTATCAGAGATTAGCCTGCGGCGATGGTAACTGTCAATATCACCAGATTCAGAGATTCTGAAGAGATTATCGCACACTTTTATAAACAGAATGCGCAAAAAAATAACAATATGGCAGAATGTTTATTAATTAATTAATTATTATTAAAAAAATATACATAAAAATGGATTTCGAATTTATTTATAAAAATAAATGATTATAAAATAAATTTTTTAAAAAAATTTTATAACATTTTATTTTTGTTAAAAACGCCATTTTATATCGGATTGGGAAATTTTATAATATTGGCCGATAACCGATATTCTAAATGGGTGACATATCGGCTCCATCCGATCCGATATAAATTATTGTACATCCCTAGTCACGCAATATAATACTGAAAAACTTCCACACGATCACTCAAGTAATACTTGACAGAACAATATAGATAAGATAATAGTTTGACTGGAACCGAGCTAAAATGGTCATTATATAGCGGTAGTCATCTTTGGAGGTTCTCCACAGTTTATAATCGTTTAAAAATAATTTAATTAGAAGAGCCTTAAGAGAATATTAAATAGGTTAGAAATATTTACAAATATAAATTATTTTTAAAATATTCTCTTTTATTATTATAGTTGAGGAGTTTAATTATTCTATAGATTTGGATTTATATTTGACCAGCCATCTACTAATTCACTGAAATTTTCATATAGGGAAAAATTTACTCATAGATTTAGATTATGGTAAATTTTGATCGATATAAATATAGTAGTTGTATTCTTTAGAAAGAAATTTGGAAATAAAAAATTTTAAATATATTTTTTCAACGTTTGTATTAAAGGGCGAAAGACCTCCTCACGCATTCATGCTTATTAATAAGAGAAATTTGGAAATAAAAAATTTTAAATATATTTTTTCAACGTTTGTATTAAAGGGCGAAAGACCTCCTCACGCATTCATGCTTATTAATAAGAACCTTAATAAAGGAATGGTCGGATCTGATGTATTTATATGTTACAAAAAATCTATGTCTAAAACGAATTTGATATCCTATAAACCTGGTAAATATTATTTTTTTTAATGGGTAAATGAGTAAAATAATAAGGACGCGTGATAGTCATTAAAATCGCCGTTTATTGCACATGCCCATTTTATAATTTAATTATAAAATTAAAATTGAAAAATTTCCATTAATCCTTTTTTAATATACTAAGATTGGGAAGGGTATCCAATAAAATTTTTATGATTTTTTTTTATTTTAAAATAATATATCGAGGAATGAAAATTTGTTTGGAAAATTAAAATAGAAATTTGAGCGATAAATAATATCATGATGGATTGACATTTTACCCAAATTATGAAAAAAATAATAGCTTTGTTAAGCAGATACCCGGAGACAAATTTAAACGATTATCTCTTGCCTGACATAACACCTTTATTTTGTCTCCCCATGGGGGCCACTCTCGAAAAATGGGATGATAATACCAAAATACCGGATCCACTATTTTCGACCTTCGTTCTCACCAATTATTTGGCCATTAAAGTTAGGCATTTATATAAGTTATAAAATTATTCTATATTTTATATGATATTAATTAATACTTAATAAATGATTGTATATAAAGAAAAAAGTAAGAAAAAAAAGAAAAAGGTAAAAGAAAGAAAATTTAAGCAACATGTTTCATATTTAATGTGTTCTTTTTGTTAATTTCAATTATATGTACAATGTTTTATATTTTAATTTGACGATTTTTCTATGGTTCTCATTTTAATTGATTATTTGTACACCATTATATCCCTACTAACTTAAGGCATACGGAGCGGCTATAGTCTTCTACGAACCCTACGACATTGAAAAACTGAGTCATGATCAGAGGCAACGACTTATGATCGACGATTCTTCTAACCTTAGGACAAAGATACCCTTAAATAGCGATTTAAGTTCGAAACCATCGAACAAAGAACTTTTCAAATCCTGTAACGGTGGCAATGAGGATGTAAATCAGTATATTGACGAAAATATCGACTCCGATTATTCTAACCGAGTTCTCAAAAGTGACAGTCCCTTCTACAATGGAGACATTGTAGCGAACGATTACAACAAAACTGATTTCCCCGATTTAAGTTCAGAGTCAGAAAATGAAAAAAAAATAAACCAACAGAAGAACCAAAGAGTTATCGTTTATAGTAACAAAGCTATAAGCATAGTGTCCAAATGGCCACTTTTTACTATCTTCAAGAAATTTTTGCACTTTTTATACAACGTGACTTTGAGTGGCTCTTCCAAGATACCTATCGAAAGGTGAGAACAATAAAAATATTTTAGAGGAAATAAGCTAATAATAAATTAATTAATAAATATAGATACATATCATTTTTCATGCACAAAATACCCTTCCCGTCACAAAGTAGACCTCAAATACTTGTTCAGGTAAAATATAATTTTTTTAGTTTTTTTACGTTAATGAAATTAAATAATTACCTAAAAATATTTAACTAAACTTCAAAAATGAGTTTTGTTTCTATACGCTTTTATACGGTTAAATAATGGGAAAAGTTTAAGATAGTTGCTACTATTCTTATAAAATTTAAATAATTTTTTGATAAAACTTATTATTTAATCAAAGCTGCCTTTCTTTCAACAATATCTGTTCTTATAAATATTAATTATTACTTTGTTAATATGCTATAACCATGATTTATACTTAGCTTAGAACTTCCTTTTTTTAAAAGAATGAGCCGATTTTAAGGTTGAAATTATATGACTAAACATAGTTGGTATTATTTTACAACTAATGATTTCATATTTTTTTTATGAATATTTATTAATAAAATAATTTTTTTATATTTAGTTTATATTAATTACTGTTATAATATTTAGACATATATGTTTAAATGAACCCAAAAATTTTGATTTTTTGATTTATATTTCCACACTCGGTCGCCAAGACCCCCTTTTGACCATCACATATATAAGACACTATATAATGCATAAGCGTAGCCATGATTTTCATAAAAGGGGGAGTTAAAAACCCCCAGAGACCCCATTTTGGGCGGGCCTTCGGCCCGGTTTCCTTCGTCTATATATAGTTATTATTCTTACAATAGGAAGTTAATTTTAATAAAATTTTTTTATCTATATTTAAAATATACGAAATTGGATAAGAGATTATATCAAAAAATAAGTCTGGAACTAATAGGAAATATATTTTTATTAGTTAATATAATATATAATAAATGTAATTATATTATATATGTTGTATTCCATATTAAATCAACCAAAAAAAGTCGATTCTCAACCCGACTCCCTTCGATTTTTTTAAAAATTTGCATGTTGGTAGTATATACACTAATTAATAAAAATGTAAAATTTTAAATCGCCTTACTTTATGAGATATGGCCATCTAAGTAATTAAGCTAAATACATGATTTAAATTTTATCAAATAGCTCTTTATTATGATATAAAATTTATTTTATTGAAAAAAAGTCTATTACCAAAAAACCGGAAATAGAAAACTGGAAATGGCTATAAAATATAAATTGCTCTTTTTTTTTCTCTTAAATTTTTTTTACAATAGACATTATACTTCTTAATATTTGTACTAAATCCTAGATTGGGACGAGTATTGGGCCAAAAGTTATTACACTTTAAATATAAGTAGTATGGCTTAAATCCTATATTATACTAAAAATATAGTAATTTACGAAACAAATAAAAAGAAAATTCATTTGTGATCGGGCCTGATATATTTTTTTATAAATCTTTCTGGCATTATTAGTAAAATTAGGCCCTATGCATATCACTAGTAGACATTGTGTCATATTTAGCACATAAGTTTAGCTATTTTATTTTAGAAGGAAAATAATTGTAAAAGCATTTATAACTTTATTTAGCTAATTAATTGGAAATTAATATTCTAATAAACATATTAATTAAATAATATCATACATTAAATAATCTAATGAATTAGAATAAAATTTAACTTTCATTTTTCCTTCCATTGGAATAAATGAATGATATTTTTGTGTCCCGGGAATTCATTTGGCCATTAGAAATTTATTTTCAAGATTGATTTCCATTCTTAAATATTCTACGTTGCTAACAAATATATAATTAATTCCCGGGATATTGATTCTCGCATAATTATTTAAGTCAATAGGAGTTATTATATGATTTTCATGAGGACGTTGCAGGCTTGCTCTAGCCGCCAACCTCTTAGTAATTCCCCCCTAAACTATCGCAAGGAGTTTTGCCATGTGCAGTTGCCAAAATTGCCATTCTGCCTTGATCCCAAAATCATTATAATGGTTGTAGAGGTTTACAAAGTTTTTTTTTGTTTTTATACTGGGTAACACCTCCATCAGAAAAATAAAATATTATTGAAATCTTATCAAATCTTTCTTTCAAGATATGAATTAATTTTATTTGAAATAAATGAAAGGAACAAGTATTGTGTTTGAGACAATCTGATAGATATAATCACGTAACTTAAATGTTTGATGATATATTTGGTATAATATAGGATTTAAGCCATACTACTTATATTTAATGTGTAATAACTATTGACCCAGTACTCGTCCCAATCTAGGATTTTGTACAAATATTAAGAAGTATAATGTTTATCTGTAAAAAAAATTTAAAAGAAAAAAAAGAGCAATTTATATTTTATAGCTATTTCCGGTTTTTGGTAATAGACATTTTTTCGATAAATTAAATTTTATGTTATATTAAAGAGCCATTCTAGAGCTATTTAATAAAATCAAAATCATGTCTTTAGCTTAATTACTTTTTGAGATAATTATAATTAAATATAGTGTATTTTGGAATTTCCGCGTTTCTAAAGATGACCATATCTCATGAAGTAAGCTGAGTTGAGAATTAAAATTTTAAATTTTTACTAGTTAGTGTATATACTACCATCATACAAATTTTTAAAAAAATTGAAGGGGGTCGGGTTGAATTTTCAGTTGATTTGATATGGAATACAACAAAAACGTTTTAATAATTTAGAATTTTAGATCTAATTTTCTTTTAGAATTTGATAATTAATTAATGGTGTTAATTCCCGATGAATACTTATGAGCGCTAAGCCATTTAATTTATTTTGCGTAGTATTTCGCAAATATGTATTAAGCATTCGTAAATTTGAGAAAGTTCTTTCATTAGTGCATGTCTTAATAGGGGGCGTGCTAAAATTTGAACTAATTTTGTAATTTTGGAAAGTTTATTAATATGTGTTTACAAACATTGAGTTCACTTAGTACATTCTCAGCTTAATGTCCATTCTTTTTAAGCTTGCATACCAATATTTAAATTCAAATTACTTCTAATTATGTCCATACCATATCTTGCAAATAAAACCTATAAATAAGTGAATTTTATCTCTAATCTCATCTGAGAAGCTCACTGATGGATTAGAGGATAACAAAATTTGAAAGTTATTGAGCAACAGTTTATGATTTAAGCGTTCTCTAATTTGAGTTAAAAATATATCCATAAGTGGTATAAAATCGTAATTCTGTATGTAATACTCCTCAACTGATTATGTAGAAATATTATTCCTATGTACTTATCTTGATACATTTCTTGGCATGTTTATTATCATATTATATGAATGCACCTTTTTTTTGAACCATGTTAAATATCTTGATAAATTCAAAATCATCATTTTTCTTATTTGTAAAATAGCATGGTAAAGTTCCTAAATTAATTTTATACATATTTTTAAAATATAAGCAAATTTAACCAGATTGCAAATTTTGTACTTTTGAATGTATTATCTATAAGATAGTATTATTGATCAATAAATTATAATAAAATTTACTTCAGATCTTTCATCAACATCAACATTAACAAAAATATAAATATAAATATAATGTTAAAATACACTACCTATTGGGACTATTTGAATGATAGGATCATTTTTCTCTAGCATAATCACTATTGTTTCATCATCAAGAGGCAAAGCTACTTACTTAAACGCCCATCCTGGGAAATAAGAGGAGAGGTAAAAAACCTATCCCCGATTAAATAAAAACTTGATTATGGAAGAGTTATGTTGGCTATGTTAATTTTGCTTTTATTTAGCATTGTGAGAACCTAGAAATAACCATATGATTAAATAAAATAAAAAATACCAGTATAAATACTCACTTATCAATAAAACTAGTTCTTTATATACAACTTTGAAAATAATCAATAATCCATTTCATATTCATTATCCATCATACCTACTTAGGATTTAAATTGATTAATAATAATAATAAAGGGGATTGATATTGGTTGAATTAAAATTTTAAAAGTTATAATTCATATGTTTAAATAAATGTAACAATATTTTGTTCTGTTAGAAAATTAAATATTAATAAATATGTTCAGGTTATTAAAAGATACTTTTTAAATAAGTCTATATACAGATATATATGATTAAATGATTATAAATATTGTTATATTTTAGTAATATAATATTTTCAAAATTTTGGCCATTAAGGCATCCTCGTTTATCTGTGAAAGACATTTTTAACAACACTAGAAAATCTTTCTACCGGGGCTTTTAAGGGATTATGGTGTTATATTTTATCTCTTTAAAAATAAAACTAAAATCTCGATTTTCGTTTTTGGAAAAATTATTTAAAATTTGTTGAGAATCAAAATTTAAATCATTATTGACAATCATACTATTGGCATCCACAATGGCAACAAGATTCAATGTGTGACTGTCACAACATTGATGATTAGGTAAACTATATGATTCTGATATTTCAAAATCCTGAGAAATAGTATAAATACTTGATATTGATATTGGTACAAACAACTGCTTCTTCATCTTACAGATCATCCATGAATTCACTACTATTTTCAATTGGCTTGAATATAATAAATCAGTAATCCTAATCATATATTATGTTTATATTTATAATAAAATAAACCTAAAAACTTTGAGAAAATTTATGGCATTGTCAGTAATGGTCTTTGAGATTTTATTTTGAATGCAATAGTCCTTTGCTATATCTTGTAAATTCTTTGCGATTTTATCATATGTATGACTAGCAGTCATTCTTTTACAAGCCAACGCTACATTTTTTCTTTCCAAACTTGTTGGATCTATATAGTGTACAGTGACTTCTATGTATGAACTAAAAATTAACATTTCTTAAAACTGCTAAAGTAATTCGTTCTTAATTAATTATTATACAAATTTAAATGTTAGCTATACTGGGATAGGCACTCCAACAATCTGCTGTTGTGCATATTAGCGATGGTTCTATTAGATTTTATTTCTTTCTTTTCATTTTCCCATCTTTAGGAAATTCTACCAATCACTCTGTCGGCAAATAATGTTTTTTTGTTAGGCTAATGTTTTGATCATTTTTATAAATGAAGGATTTTCAATAATTGAAAATGGCTGAATACTAGCTATAATAAAAGCAGTTATTAAATCATCTAAAGTGGTTTGAGTTCAAGTCTGAGGTCTATTGTTAAAAATATCAGTGGACGATGAGCCTAGTCCATTATTTTCTTTAATAAATTTCTTCTCCTTCCCCTTTTTTATTTTGATTAAGAGTGTTTGATGTTTTCTCTTAAAATTTAAAATTATAATTGTAAACATTTATTTAGTATCCATACCTTCAATGTTGCAAATTGAGGTAAAGCTAACTGAAATTTTCGTATTTTTTGGTAGACGTGGCAAACATTTTACTATCAGATTTGTTTTCTTTATTTTGAGATATTATTTTAAAATATGCTCTATAAATTGGCCATGGAAAAACAATGTCTGAAATTGTTGATGTTTCATAAATTTATTATTTCACCTCTTCATCTTCATCACTATTAATATTAATCTAAAATAAATTTTTAAAATTAATATAATAATATTAACCAATTCCATTGAAAATAAAATTAGCAGATTCCTAGAAATGGATTGTAATATTAAAATTTGTCTGGTTTATTGATAAACTCGAACATAATATTTAATGAACATTTATATATATTTTTTATTAGGACTGTGCCGATCCACATATCCGATCCGATATTGGTTCAAACCGATCCGATATTTAACTGATTTTTCACCACTCTCCTTTGAACCAAATGTAAAATCAATATTTTTTATGTATTTCTACAAAATATATTTAATAATATATCCATTTTATGTTGGTATAAATTATAAAATTGTAAAATTGTAATATTTAATATATAAAATTATAATATATTAGATTTTTTATAATAAATATGAGAGCCTCTAGATTTTCTGGCAATAAGCCTCTACTATGTGGATTATCTATATCCCCTGCCGTACTGAAGGCATACTCAGATGAGACACTTGTTGCAGGAGGCGCCAAAAAATTACATGCAAGTTTTGACATATTTGGGATTTCAGCATTAATTCTCCAATATTCAAGTGGATCCACAGGGGATATAATATCAATATCAATGTTATTCGAGTTATCTAAATAAAAAGATCACAAATATAAAATTAGCATTTATAAAATAATGTGTTTCATACAAACATAATCTTGTGTCGATTTTGAAAAATAATCCAATATCATCCAAACAAATGGGTCAATCATAACTCAATCAAGCAATACTTGATTAAATATTAAAAATATGTTATTATACTTTCTAGATATAAAGATTCTTTTAAATATTCCTTGATTTCTATCAAGTATGGCAGGTTATTTACATTTCAATTATTTTTGTTACTAGTTTCTCTCTGATTTTCAATTGAAAAGAATCCCTTAAATTAAATTGCATTTTTTAATGTTATGTGGCATTTTTCTCATTGTCATTACCTAAGTTAACAATAAAATCTAAATTTATTTTAAAAAATACCTGGCGTATCTTCATTGGGAGTTGGAAGTTGAACATTATTATAACCTTTAATAAAAGGCTTACATGCTTGTCGTGAGCTTTTCAATATATGAAATGTCTTTTGGTAAAAAGTAGGGGTGTACCGATACCATTTTTTGAAGGCCGATCCGATATTCCCAATATTAAATTGATATCGGCCGATTACCGATCCGTAATCATATCTAATTTTGTATTCTGTAAAGATATCAATGGTTTTAATTTTTAATATACTTTTTATTAGTATAACATCTATAATCTAACTATACCATAACTTATATCATTTAAATATATTATAATGATCAGTTATAGTTTATATTGAATTCAATTGCAATTCTAAAAGTATATAAAATATTTTTATTGTTAAATTACTTTTATATAATAAGTAATAACATTAATCTATATACATAATAAGTAATAAACAAATATATTATGAAATTTGAAATAAATATTTTTTTAAATAATATTTAACATTAATATATCGAAGATTTCCTTTTAGAAATATCAAAATTTCCAATTTATCAGAGGTCAGCCTGCGGCGATGGTTATTGTCAATATCACCAGCTTCACTAAAACAGATTCTGTAGAGATTATCGCACACTTTTATAACAGAATGCGCAAAAAAAACAATATGGCAGAATTTTTATTAATTAATTATAATTATTAAAAAAATTAAACATAAAAATGGATTTCGATTTTATTTATAAAAATAAATGATTTTAGATATAACTTTTTTAAAAATTTTTTTAACATTTTATTTTTGTTAAATGCCATTTTTATCGAAACAAAAATATAAATTAGGTTAACTAATTTTTCGGAAATGCGTTGGATCGGAAAATTTTATAAGGCCGATAACCGATATTTTAAGATGCGAAAATATCGGTACACCCCTAGTAAAAAGAAATCCTTAAAACGAGGATCAAGTAATGTGATAAGATAATTGACATCATCATAAATATCAAAAAACCGAGTTATTAATTGATTATTAATGGTATCCTTCATGGTCTGTACCTGTTCCCCCATTAATCGTTAATTCACTTTTCAGAATTTCAACAAATGGTATAACATAGCTAATTAAACATGATTCCATACTTATTTTTTTTGTTACTCTCTGAATTGGTTCCAACATCAATATCCTTTTCTGCTAATTCCCACTCATATAATGAGAGATTTCCCAAATTAGGATTATCAATAATGAACAGATGTATCGCCTTTTTTGTTCTATCAATCGTTCGAGCATGTAATAGGTAGAATCCCAACAGGTCGGCACATCCTGGATTAATTTGTGCCTAGTTAGACTTAATCGAATTTGGATTTCTTTTAGACTATTTTGTTAGAAAAATGTTGTGGTCTATTTTTCTAACCCGGGCAAGCATGTCAATAATAGAACTCTGTGATAAAATAGCTGCCTGTGCAACCAATTGCAAACTATGTGCAAAACAGGAAACGTTTTGAAATTTCCCGTTTTTCATGGCCAAAGCTATATTAGGTGCATTATCTCTAATTGATAAGGTGTATTTTTTTTATATCCCAATAATTAATCATTTTATCTAAAATTTAAGCAATATTAATTATGTATGCGACTCATTAAATATTTTAACATTTAAAACTATTAATTTGTTTAAAGTTTTGGTTTATATAGCGGCATGTTAATGAGATAATATGAGAATCGCCACCTGAATTTCTAGTCCATATATCTAGGGTAAAGGAAAAATAAGAATCTTCAACCAAAATTTCTTTACGAATTTTTTCGGAGAGTTTTCATATATATCCGGAATAACTCCTTGCGAAAAATACTTATCTATAAGGAATTTTATAATTTAGACATAAATGATGTAAAAGCCTTTTAAAGCCGACATTCTCCAAGATAGAAATCGGCTGGTGGTCACAAGCTATCATTTACCCTATAAATTTAGAAATAATTATGAATTTAGGATCAGAATTTTTACAAATATTAGTTTTATTAAGAATGGCTGATATTGTTAGCTTACTTTCAGGGCTCTTTTTTTAAAAAATTTGATTTGTTTTTCTAATATTTCTCGTTCTTTTTGTGATTAGCTTTTCGACTGCCTTTTGATGGCAATCGTTTAAATGTTTACGGATATTGGTAGTATTAGAATTTTTCATTATTCCTCCTCTTGAAATTAGAATTCCACAGATAACGCTTTTTGAAAAATTATCTTTGTCTTTTGTAAAATATTTCCATAATTCAGGTACCATATTTAAATAAAATTCTTTTATTTAAAATATAAATAATAAAATTGGCGTTATTATTTAAAAAGATTTAAAATAAATAAAACTTTCGGTGTTCCGCAATTACATTTTTTTAAAAAAAATTATTTAGAAAATATTATAATAATGTAAAATAAATATACATCATAAAATAACAAAAAAAAGATCGGATCTAATTTTAACAGGTATAGGCCCGATCCGAAATTTTTGGAAAACGCTAAATATCGGTGCTGATCCGATATTTAATATCAGCCCTATTTTTTATATATAAATTTTAATATTTTATATATATATAATTTTTTACTAAAGTAGTCTTAATATTTTTTAATATATATAATATATATTTATTTAAATTATATGTTCATATGAAATAAAATAAATTTTGCATTCAAGTATTTTTATTTATAATATAAAAAATCGTTAAATAAAAGTATATCAAAATATATCGTAAAAGTATCTAAAAACAGATACAGATATCTCTAAAATAATATTTAGCTACAGATACTTTAACAAAAAATCTATCTAGATACAGATACCACATTTTTATATCTAGATACTTAATCAACTCTGGATATGTTTATTAATTTAACAAATATAGAATTATTTTTTCGTTTACATTCTTAAAAAGATATTTTATGATGTCCATATCAGTATCTTATAATTTTCTGTAAATATAATTCACTATTGGTAAAAATTATATGATTGTCATACGATATTAGATAAAATTAGATATACTGAAAATCGACTACACATAATATTCCACTGATTGTATTGTGCCTTTATTTTTTTTAACTTAATTTATAATTTAATTTTATCAATAATTTTATAATTAAATTTTACTTTTATTAAGAAAAATAAATTAAAGTTATTCACTTTATGAAAATTACATTAATTTTATGGATCTATTAATAGTAATTATAATAAATTTCATTTTTGTCTTAAGACTTTGGCTATTATTTCATTTCGTAAAAACATTTTTGGTTTCACCTTTTTTTCATAAATAAATGCTTTTTCCTAACAAAGTATGAATTATGTTTTAGTTTAAAAAATATTAACTTTTACATTCTTTCAAATTATTGTTTGATATATGCTTACATTTTTTGGGGGACAGGGGGTGGGGAGAGAACTAAGGAAGATATTTTTTATTAGCTTGAAATGATATTCACAAAAAGTGATATATTTCTGAGGAGGGAGGGAATTACCCCTGGCTACGCCTATGATATAGTATAATGTTTTGTAACTAATGGGAAGCATTCTTGACTATAAATGGCCATTTTATCCAATGGTTAAGATTTTAGTCGGTGATAGTTGCAGATTTTACACTTATTATATATTTTGTAATAGTTGCCTTTTAACACAACCCTCTCCCTGATCCAAACCTTCAACATCCCTATGGGAATCACCGGGGCCTCTTTCGTTGCCCTCATTCAAAACTTGAGCTCGGATAATATTTTGAACTTGATGTGCGCCATCTTGCTCGAAAATAAAATATTGTTACATTCGCTAAGACCCTCCGTTTTAACAGGGGTAGGAGAAGCCTTGAGAATGGTATAAGATTATATAATAATCATTATTTAATATTTACAGTATAATTATTATAGTTAAGCAATGTATAAAAGCCGGCGAATTAGGTTCAATCTACAGACGCGAGCCGGAGAAAATTCGTTAACATTTAGGCGTTTTAAATTTATATTACTAAGAAAAACAACCTCGAGGCCAAAGGGATAGTTTTCGGCTAAAAATTTGGTTTAGCCGATTTTGTAGCCGGCTAAAAATTTGGTTTAGTTTGTAGCCGGGATTAACGGCTAAAAATAATAATTACCTAACTATAATAATTATAAAAGTTAATTTATTTGCATTTAATGTTCGAATATTAATTTTTGTCATTCATATATTTGAATATTACAAGTTTTCTGGAGATGATATTTTCTTGTAACGAAATAAGAAATATTTATTTGAATATATTTAGAGTGTGAAATAATTAACAATCAATAAAGCGAAATATATATAAAATTATATAACCTTATTATTATTTTTTTTTGTATTGGTAAATTAAAAAATTGTTAAGGCCATACAAAGAGGTTTTTCAGATTTGTCAAATAGTCGCAATTTCTGGGAATATTATTGGTTACTCAGAGATGCACCGATGCTTACAATATCGATCAGTATCACACCAATGGCTGATACTAATATTGTTTAACCTTCATAAATTAAAAAAAAAGTATAGTTACGTTAAACCATGAATTTATAAAAAAAATTATATATAAAAAGAAAAAGGGTGATATTAATTTTTTTTTCTCATATACTCTTTAGTTTTAATTTATTTTACTTTTCCAAATTTCATATAATAATTATATAAATAATTATATAAATAAATGTCAAAATAATGATATTATTTAATAAAATTTTTGTTACCATGTTTACACTTAGCGATCAAAAAAATGAGCAGACAGTTAAAATTTAAAAATAAGATAAATAAATTAACATTGGCGAACATTTTGGTGATCTTAGCATAGTTTGCGGATATCTATGCATAAGGCTACTATTTTTAAAACTAAATTCTAATTTACATTTTACATTAATTAATATTATATATTTGTTTATATTAACTCTAATTTTTTTTTAAAATAATTATTTTTTGAATTTGAAAATTAATTATTGAAAAAAATATTAGGTAATCAGTTAATAAATATTAAATTTTTTTAAAAATTTGCATATTATTGTCTTTTTTAAATATTAAGTTTAATTTTTTTTAATAGACATAGAATAATCATTTAAATTATATTTTAAATTGGTTTTTTCCTAATTAAACTTGGTTTTAATATTAATATTTGTTTTATGTTTATTATTTACAAATACAAATTTCTTATACATCATACTAGTAAAAAATATTTTCTTATCTAAAAATGGAAATAAATAACACTATAATTTATTTTATAAATCTAGAAAAACCCAATTTTATTTATTTGCTTTAGGTAAAAGTAAAGAATAATTTTTTTATCATTCATCAATAATAGGAACTCGATCATGATCATGATCATCATTTTTAAAAAGGATTTTCGATCCCAGGCTATTTACCAAAATTTGAATCGATTCCAGGATCATCGATCCTTTCTTTGATCGCGATTCTTTAGCAACTCTTTGTATAAATTAACCAGTGATATTCACAAGAGTTGTTGCTGCTAGTCATATCTGGAAAACCCCTCTTTCTATCGCTTTACTAAAAATTTGCCTGTTATACATATCTAGATGCTTATCACAGGTTATCTATCATATCTTTGTAAATTTATCAATTTATATTATGGTTTTTTCTACTTTATATATCACTTTAAGTTAATATTCCCGCTTCAATGGCAATGCTCGTATATTCCGCTATGCCCTATACTATTATCTCAAGTACTAAACGCACCCGTTCCTTATATTATAGGTATTATCCAAACTCCTTTTCTTATTTTTATAGACCTTTATAAACATAATCTTTACCTTAGATTTTTTTTTAGCCCTGATTAAATCAACCTTTGAATGGTAAAGTTGAAAACATAACGCTAGCAGTTAGTTGGGTCATGGCTCATCCTTATTTTAAGAAAAGAAGGATATTACACAAATTTCTATAAAAAAAGCTTTTATATTTTATCCATTATTAAGTTAACCTAAAATTAATTATAAATATAAAAGAAATATGATTTAATAATAAATAGAAAATTTATGAGAATCTGCAAAGAGTGGAAAATAAAGCAAAATTGCGTTAAATAGGGGAGACTAGGGCTAGTCGGCGCAAGGGGCATGTTGATTTAAAGATTTTATTTTGAAACCAGTAAAGATTAAAATTTGAAATTTAGTTCTAAAATAGAATTCTGTAATATCCATAAGGATGAAAATAATTTATAATATTTAGCTATTTAAATTTTTATCCGTTATGACATGTTTTTGACGTAAAAATTATAATATTTTCACTTAATATTATTAGGTTGTATTAAAAAATTAAAAGTTTAAACATGACAAAATGAACATTATATGAAAGTTAAATATCTATTTTAATATTTGGGAAAGTTTCAGATTGATATATAATGCTTAAATATATGTTAAGATAAAATTAGTAATATTACCACCATTGAGGTTTGTAGAATCGTGGCTAGTCGGCGCAATCAGTCAATTTTTATTATATTATGGTACTCAAATATATATGCAAAATTCAAAATAGTAAAATTTTTACTAAAAAAGATTATGAAGAAACTATAAAACTATGAAAATGATATCTCATTAAGAAAAATACCATTTATTACAGGTTAAAGTATAATATTTTATAAATGCAATATATTAAATAATAATTATTATATAAATTTATTAATGTGATTGATTTTTCATAATACATTTCAATTTTAATATAATATCAGACCTAAATAAATATCTTGCAAACTAAAATCTTCATATACATATTGTGATAATATATTATATATTGTCACAGATATTATATATATTGCATATATAAATTTTAGCCTGATAATAAGATCAATTATTTATATTAATTATATCTAGCAAACAAATATAATATATATATTTTTTTTAACTGACAATATAATATGATTCAAATTAATACATTTTATTAGATATGAACATTTTAGCATATAAATTTTAGCCTGATAATAATATCAATATATTTAAAATGAATTATATCTAACAAACAAATATTTATATATATATATATGTATTTTAATTGACAATATAATATGATTCAAATTAATTCATTTTACTGGACATGAACATTTTAGTTATCAGATTATATTTAGCCTGATAATAAAATCAAATGATGTTATATATTTAAATATAGAAATAAAAAAATTTTGATTAAATTTTTTATTAATAAAAAATAAACATTAATAAAAAATTAATAAAAGATGTGTGTATTATATGTAAACAGGATTATAAAAGTTTTCATAATTTTGAAGATTGGTTTCAATGTAGAGTGGTTCTCTGTCAAAAAAGATTGTTATTTTATTTGTTATAATTGTAAATAGAATATTATATAAATAAAGTATCATAGTTATATATTAAAATCTGAAAAAATTTCTTTTTTGTCCCACAAGAAGCCTAATAAACCACTTGATTCGACTAGCCCCATCGATGATCCGACTAACCACGAGTTCGGGGCTACTAGGTTCAAAAAATGACTTTTACTAAAACCTTTCTATAAAAAATAATTATAAAATATTTAAAATAACAGTATATATTTATAGGTAGATGCTTAAGGTATCTATTGGTATTTTGTAAGATCTTATATAATCATTATTTTCGGAGCTATGATGATTTTGACATATATGGCGCCGACTAGCCCTGGTCTCCCCTACTATATTTTATATTTTTTACTATGAAAGTTGATTTAAAACATGCAATATCATAATTAAATTAGCGTTTTTGCCTCCAAAAAAATTTTTCCATATTAAAAATCATTCAAAACAAATATATGAAACCTTGCAGACATAGTTCATCATAAAATAGAAGGCTATTGAAAAAACAGGTCAAAATATTGACAGGTTTTTTTTGTATTGATCGTATACCACACACTGGTTAATTACGAAAGGGTGGATATTTTAATCTAAAAATTTAATTGGTTTTTGAATGTAATTAAGAGCAGCGAAAAACATAAATCGAATCTTTGCCAGATCTAGTGAAGGTCAACGGCCCGGTCCTATCGGTCTTAGACCGGGACCGGAGCGATTGTTGGACCGATCATTTTTTGAGGACCGTGGTCCGGACCGGTTTTTTTATTTTTTATGGTCCGGATCGGTCTTTTATTATTATTTAAGTTCTTTACTATTCAATTAATATAATTTTTTTGTATATTTTATTTTATGATATTTTTCTAGATGAGTTATTTTAGATTCTGTTAATTTTTATTTTACAATATGAAAACCATAAGTTTGTCCAAGAAACATTTTAGTTATAGTCCCAATAAAAAACAGAGTATGTGTTCACTGCAGTACCAAATTTAATGTATCGTCAGCAATTAGTAACAAAATAATTGTTTATAATTTTTTAAGCAATAAATTAATCAAAATAAGCAGTAATATTATTAAAATATTTTAGTTATTATATAGTTCTATTTTTTCTTAAGAAACTGTATAATTTATTGAAAAAATTACTTAACCTTATTCTTAATAAAATAATTAGGTACCTTAAGCAGACATCTGATAAAACATAAAATATATACTTCTAATGATGAAAATGAAAATATCTCAGAAAACACAATCTACTCTTAATTTTAATATGCCCTCCACAAGCACAAAATCATTTTCTTAAATACCATTGGATAAATTTTATTGTTTATATAATACTCTTATATTTAATAAAATGATAAAACAAACCAAATTAGGTTAAAAAAAATACGTTTTTTATTTAGGACCACGGTCTGGATCGATTTTTTTCTTAAGGACAGTGGTCCGGTCCGGTCCGAGGATATCGGTCCAGTCCGGACCAAAGACCGGACCGTGACCTTCACTAACCAGATCTACGATTTAAATATTTCATTAAGCTATCAAAATTAGAGAATAGTTATTAATAATGTGAATATATTAGCTCTAAAAGTTGACCGTCATTTTAACAACTTTAGTTATTCGTGCCCCCCCCCCCCTATTATTGAAGCTTTGCTTTTTATTTAAATAATTTATTTATAGCACATATTTCAGTTGCTAACAACTTATAAAGGAATATTATATGGCCTTGGAATTATACAAATGTTTATTTAGTACGACAAAATATATTATTTCTTCTTCCTCACAATGATATAGGAGTTGACTCTAGATATTTCGAAATGTTTCAACATTCTCCTATGGATGCCGTTACCGTAGATTTGGATACTAACACACTAATCATGTTTGACCTCGCTTCACATTAACTAATAAAATTTAATTACTTACTAGCCATATATTGGAAATTTAAAAGGAATTATGTTATTTAATAATCCAATTACATTTTATAAGATAAATGTACTAAGAAAGAAATAAGAAAATAAAGAAAGAAAAAAAAAGAAAAGGAAGGAAAAAGAAAGTATTATATTATTTTATATTTTTTACATAAAGAAATTATTATATATTTATGTTATATAGCCCTGAACACAAAAAAATTATCATCAATTCCAAAAATTTACCGAAAGTAAGTATAACTATTATGAAATTCTTTATAAATAGAAATTAAATTGGCAAAAGTTTTATCTAATATATATAATCTCCATAATCATGTAAGATCGTTTTCGTATCTCCCTAATGTATTTTAAATTTAAGGAGACTGATATAGTGTAATGTTAATTTTTTGTTCTCTACGAGAATCGAACTCGAGCCTCCCGTTTCAAAAGCATATGCTTTACCGCATGCACTAATTGAATATAAATAAATTCAAAATATTAATTATATATATTAAAGTTTCACGCATGCACCATTTAAAATATTAATTATATAGATGTTGAAGGGTAATTATTTAGTTTGTGTGTATGGTATTAAATATACTTTATTAATAAATTTTATATATCTTAAAATTTAAGAGTAAAAGAGGTAAAATTGGTGCAATGTTTACTGTGAGCATGTATTAGAAATATCAAAATTTAAAAATGTGATAAAAATCATATTGAATAAAATTTAAAATAGAGGTGCTTTAAGATTTTTGAATTTTAATTATGGGTTATAGATTGGTCTTGAATTTTAATATGGGTTATAGATTGGTCTGAAATTTTTTTTGCAGACATAGCCAGGCCTGTTCAAAAAACCATTTTAAATGCATTGTGACTTTTTATATATTTTATTTCAGTCCTCAACTATCAAAATTATTATGGTCTTTTACGGGTTTGAGAAAACCAAGTGCGAGGACCTGGCTTGGGAATTTTTTTAATATTAGGCATAGGTGTAATATTTAACACAGAATATTTATATGGCCCTCAGGTAAAATCTAATTTAAATATATTTTTATTCAAAAAAATAGTATTCACTTTTAGTCTTAATGGGTTGGCCTTGGTTGGGGTGAGCTGGGGTAAAATAGACTAAAAAATAGATATGGTTTTTAAGAGATTTACCTATCTCCAGGCTTGGGAAAAAAATTTAAATTACTATCGGTTGGCCAGGTTTGAAAATTTTTTTTTATAAAATTATTATGGGTTGGGCTGGCCTTGGAAAATATTTTTAGAAATTATATTGGGCTGGGCTTGGGAAAAATTTTTCAAAATTATTATGAGCTTGGATGCTTGAGAATTTTTTTATTATTAATTATAGGTCAGACATTGGCCTAAAACAAATTTTTTTACAGGCCTGGGCTTGACCTGAACAAAAAACCAAGGCCCATGAAAATCTGAATTTTGATTGTATTTTTAAATTCATTATGATTATTTAAATATTTTATTTCAGTTCTTAACTGCCAAAATTATTATGATCTTTCATTGGGCTTGGAAGAATTTTTCATAATTAATATGGCTTTAATTTTTTTTAATATTAAATATTAGGTATAAGTAATCAGTAATATTTAACAAATAATATTGGTTTTATCAAGTAAATGCTTTAAATTTATTTTTACTCAAACCATAGCACTTAGTTTTAATGGATTAAACTTGGCCTGAATGGATGAGGGGGTAAGAAGAATAAAAATTGGATATTATTTTCAAATAACAAGTAACATGCATAAAAGTAAGAAGAAAATTTTCATTCCCCGTCATATTTGACGGGGTATCTACTAGTTATTTATAATAAATATAAAATCGAAATAAAAGAATATTTATACTTTTCCTTGTACAGTTAATGACTCATTTTGCAGGTTCGAGTATACTAATTACTTCTCTGACCCCTTTTCCAGTAATAATATTTTTTAGTATTTTTTATTATAAAGATTGAGTTACCTCTTATCAACTTTCCCAAAAATGGATTCATTATACCCTTCGACGTAACTAGAATTTTACTAAAGATTTAATAACTCTTGGGAGGCTTGCCATAATCTTTTTTGGAGACTTATAAAAAGAAATATAGTTTATTTATTTTTTTAGTTTATTTATTTTTTTAAAATAATGAGTATAATTGAAATTTTTCAGAAAAAGGGCATAAAAAATAATGTAAAACTCAAATTATTTTTTAGAAAAATACCCACGCAGAGACCTTAAAAGAGCCGGTCTGAGCTCTGCAATAAAATATATGAAGGGAAAATACATCCAGCTCCCTCATTAGTCATTAGACAAATATTAATATTAATCATAATTTTAAAAAAAGAAATCTTGCAAAATAATGAGACACGCCCACTTCAAAATCATGGAATACCTCGAGGTAAACCCCGAAATTATTTCCACTCGATTTATCAAGTCCCGCCGAAATTCTTTGATTGACGATGACTTTAAACGCGTCAAATTACAAGTTATCAATAATCTTTTAATATAAGTAATAAGTCACCCCCCCCCCCCCCCCCCCAAAAAAAAAAATCACTTTCTATTTTATTGGTATTTTACTTCCAATAATAAATGATGAATTTTTTAATGATTTTTCTTATAATTTGGCTCTTTCTATCTTACCGGAATAAAATAACTAGGGGAGTCTACCCTTTAAATTTACTAACTTATTCTCGCAAATAATAATTTCTTATTGTAATTTTCGTTCCCTTCTTTATAATTATTATTATCATTTAAGGATTTTCCTTTTACTTTAATATATCGCAAGGGAGCGAACCTCACCATGGATTTCTTCCTAACGATTATTTTTACTTAACGGTAACTTAAAGTATTTTATTTTTGTTGTTCAGTGCATTCATCGAAGAGGTAGTTAACTTAATTAATGCCCAGTTTTCTTCAATTTTTTATTTAGACTTAGTGTCTGTTTTTATATCATTAAATCCATAACGAAATGGATCACCTCGTCCCAGATACTCCATAATAACTATCGTCATCAATTCACCCCATACCTGACTTGGTACTTATTCGTCGAACCCTCCACGTCTTGTTCATTAATTACAAACAAAATTACTTCATTCCTTTCAATATAATATGAGCAATTATTTCACTAAAAATTTGTAAAAGTTTTTTAAATTTATTTAATAGTTTTATATTAATGATTAAATCGCCAATATTTTTCGTGGTTTTAAAATACCTCAGGGGGGTTTATAACTACTATGTATTTTTTTTCTTTAAATAAATACATCTATAAATCATTCTAGTATGGGCAATAATGTATCCTTCTCTTTAAGTGTAACGTGAACCGGGATGTAATGTTGGATAGTTTTCACAATTTATCTTTTGCTTTAAATGATTTAAGATATATGAAACCGTTTATGGATCTAGGGCATCTCTTATGAAATCTTTAAAGTTTCTTCGTTTCCGTAATAATTAAGTCCCATGGTTTCACCCCATATAACAGGGATGGTACTACTATAGAGTTGAATATACATAGTTGGGATACGGATATATCTCTACGCTGACATTTTTATTCGATATCGATTTCGCCTTTAATGCTACCTTTATATTGAGCGAAACACCCAAATATTTTACCGTCGAGGCATATTTTGTAATTTGAAAATTTATAAAAATATCGTTTGTGGTAGACATCGAAGGGGCCACTTAATTACCTTTTTGTCGGGATTAATTTGTAGTTCCAATTTTGAGCTGAATACTTCTAGGATACTAATCAAAGTAATGTTTCATCCGTGGTTCTTATGATTAACAATAAGTCATCAGCATAAGATATTATTTTCTTCTGTACATAAAATAATTTGTCATTCGGGACCATGTTTAATAAATTAGAGAGCGTAAGTGTTTCACTTATAATTTTGTTGATTTCTATATTAAATAATATCGGCGAGAGAACACACCTTTGTTTTACACCCGTTTTAATTCTAAAGAGATGATATTGTAGATTGTTTATGAAATTTGGAAGAATGATTATTGTTATGATTACTAAGGATCTTGATTATATTTGGGTCAATTCCGCTTTCATATCTTTAATATTGCCAAAAGAACAGGAGTTTGTATTAGACGTATTACTGAATTATAGTGATAAGGGTAATCATATGCTCCAGAATATTCTTACCGGCGGTAGAAACTAATATATTTTGGAAATAGGTGGGAAGTTGATGAAAATTTGGGGCTAAGAAAACCATGATTTTTTAAGAAGCGATAGATGTAAGGGCAACTATAATCTCTGAAAGAAGGTGGATAAATTTTTGGAAAATTGAATAAAGTGATAGATTCAAATCGACAGGAATGACGCCAGTAGTACAGATTTTATTGAAGATAGGTGCGGCTTTTAAATGTTCAAAACTCATGCTATCAAGACTGGGGGCCTTATATATTTCTTTGTTTCTTAATAGCTTTTGCCATTTAGACAACCTAAAAATCAAAAGCAGTTGGAGTGGAAAATTGTCTATCCACAAATATTTATCTTATATTAATCAAATATCTATGATATTATTTTAAATTGCAAAATATATGTATAATATCTATCGAATAACAATAACAATTTTCCGTTTCTAAATTAAAGGAAGTGATCGAAAGGTCAATTCAGGATACGTTTCTAAGGTTTATGGCCTGCCTACTCAAGGGTTACCAGAGATATTTAATGCCCTTAACCAAAACTCCCAATCAAGCTGGTTACGAAGTCAAACACCTATTCGATTTTGGAGGTATATGATTGAATACGATTATTTCAGTTTGGGTACCAATGTGAGCAGTTTACTATTAACTTTATATATTATATTTTCATTCTATAAGTTACCACTTTAAAAAAAATGCCTTAAAGATGACCATAAAACTCAATTATTATAAGATATTTGTACTCCTTTGGAATAATTATTTGCTTCCTATTATTATTTTCGGATTTCCATCTCCAAATAGATTTTTTAAAGATATTTTACATTATAAATATATTTTTCTATATTTAGGTTTCTTGAGGTCTAGAGACCGATCTTGTCTTCCTTTCTTCACTGGCGTGACTGAGACCCAAATGTTTTGTCAATTTATCCAGGATAGATCGTTCGTCACTACTAAGGACAGCCATTTAACCTTTTTCGATGAGATATCTGAAAGGGTAAAAAATACTTAATATATACATCAGAGACCTGCAGAGGTTCCATTTGCACGGCCCTGGTTTTTTAAAAGTATTTCATTTATTTTTAATTTTTATAGCTAATAATGGCTATTTAAAATATTCGGTTTTAAAATATACCCGGCCTAGCCTGGGTATATTAAAAATATATATGGCCCGGCCCCTGTACCCGGACCAGGTCTGCAGGCCTCTGATATAATTCACTAGAGTACTGCATTGGAAATATATATAGGTCCCGCTTGATGTATATCCAAATCTACAAATCATCAGGTACGGCGGACTTAGACAGATCCGGGCAGGGTGTTAATATACACAAAAATAAATATTTGCATGTGATTTTACCTTAATTTTTATATAAATACCCACTGTGGAAACCATTTTTATCCGGATTATTTGACTATATTTTAAAGATGGCCTAAATTTAATTTAAACCTTAAAATATTTTATATTTGAGCAAAATATATAATTTTAAAGCACGTGAAATCACTAAATTGACTTTTAGCACACTACAAATGATTAGAGTGCTGGCTTACAATACCAACAAAATACTTGGTATTTAATTCAAACTATTGTTTAAACAAGATTTTCTTTATATTATATTGGTATTGGTTTTAACTATTATCCAAACAATTTAGAGAAAAATTTAAATTATTATTTATTATTATTAAAACTCTTGATTGTGTTTAGTTTAGAATAAACATCATCATTTTCAAAAAGGGTGTAAGCTTAATGTTTTCCTTGTTCATTAGAAAATTTTTCAGAGTCAGCATTATTTAAGTTTTGATTTTTTGTTTGTTTGTCTTCAAATACGATATCCGATATAAATAACTAATATGAATATATTTCAATAGATACAAAAATATTCCTATCACAGCTAAACTTATATATTGGTTAATCTTTTGTATTAACAATTATTGAACTAATAATTGCACCAATACATTTTTGGGAAGATTCAAGACAAAAATATTTCGATTCAGATATCTAAGGTTTTATTTTTAGCTCTTATCTACAAGCCAAAAATTTAGTAAATAATTCTAAAAATATAAGATATTATATTGTATTAATTTATTATTAAATAATATTGGTAATGTTGGTATAACTTTTAAACCAATATATCTCTATTATTAAATTGAATTAGCGATTAGTATTGGCATGGTATACATTTAAAAACAATGCAATGTTTGATTTTATATTGAATTGTATTGGTATTGAAAAGTAGTAAAAATATTGGCATTGTTGCCAGTCGTAGAGCTAACCACATCACTGCCAAGTGAATTGTTGTTTATAGGTTTCCATCAGCGGGATGCATGACTTTACAATGAATGCATTTAGCATGAAGTTGGCTGAGAATGTTTAACCCTTTTAAATTACATTTAAAAGGATAGCAGAAAGTTTTATTTGGTAAATAATGTCTATGATTGTTTGTAGATGATAGATTTGGTCGATGATCAGCAATATCATTGTATTAAAATAGGTCTATAATAAAAGTATTAATTTTTACAGCAATATATTTTGTCCTATTTCATCTAAAAATTTAATAGATAACCCCTCAATAAATTTGTCCTACCACCTACTAGCCCCCCCCCTTCCCCCCCGCTTAAGTAGACGCTGGTTTCCATTTGGGAAATATTGTTATCAAAAGATGATGCACATAACTAAACAGTGTTTACATTTGCAACCTAGCTCTTATATTTATTGAGATAAAACTTTAGAATAATTAAATGGACCGCCTCATTAAAAAAATAAAATATTTTTAATAAATAAATGGTAGATTCTTTATTTTGATATTTGAAATCATTATTTAATATTCAGTATTTTTACATAAATTTGTAATTGAATGAATACATAGATTGATTTAGTTAACTAATATGTATTATAAGCATGTTTATCCATATAATAAAGGTTACAATTATTTAAAATATATTTGTATCAAGGAATAGATTTAATTTTATATTATAATATATGATTTTCTTATTAAAATAAGAGAATTTTTTTTGAAGTTTTCTAAGTTAGTATGCAATTGTCCATAATGTTTACTTGTAATAGGTATAACAAATTTAGGAGATTTTATTCATCAATTCAAATTACAATCATATAAGAAATTTTAATTTTATTTAAAAATTATTTTTTTACTGAAAATGTAATATATTTTCATGCTTAATAGCTTGTAAAAATCAATTTATATAAACGAAAAATCAATTTAATAATTTACATAAACGAAAAATCAATTTAATAGGTTAGTATTGAGTTAATAACGAAAAAGAAATATATATAAAAAATTAATCAGGCCATCTCAACATTTTTCATTATTATTTTGATTGGATCTCAATATATAAATAAATATGATAAATTTTCTAGAGTATGGTTGAAAATTACTAATTGGCAATTTATATTACATTATGTACAATTATACAAGCAGATAGGCATTGTCAATAAAATGTAAGAAGCAAATACAAATATGTAAGAAAACTCAAGCAGCTGTTGACGTAGTTGGATATTTGTCCGAAAGAAATTACCAATAATATATTAAATGAAGAAATATTTTGGATGAAAAATTTAAAATTTAAAACTATTTATTAACATTTAGTTGTCTTATTGTTGTAAGTACAAAGGGATAAATGTACCTTGGCTTACGTAAAAATCGAGATGCTTAATTTAGAAAACACAAAATTCAATCATGCCATGATTTTATAATTTCTCCACCTGAAGAAAAAAAAATTAAAGATACATTTGGAAAAACAATCCAAATACATGTGCTCACAGTGGTGATTATTTATTGGCTCCCCAATATAAGGGGAGCATCTTACTAGTAGGGAATTTGATGAACATATAATATAAGAATTAGACAGATGATAATTAAAATATTTTAAGTGATATAATAAATTTCAGAAGTAAAAACGGCGGTATATTTAAAAATGTGGAAGCAGTAACATTCATTAAATACAATTCGATTTCGGGCTCAAGTTGTTGGAATGGGCTTTGCTCATCTTGAACATTAAGAGAAGTATCTAATTAATATCCTACTAACAATTCCTAGTTATACTTCTTTTTCAGAAAGAAATTGGTATGTTTGGGGTAATATTCATAGAAGAAAAAAATCTATTGAAGATCTCGACAACCAGAAAATTGGTAAAAGTATATCATAACCTAAGATTGATTTAAAATATAATAGAAAATGATAATATTGAATATAAATTAGAACAAGACTGCCATGGAGAGCGAAACATTAAATATAAAATTTAGAAAAATATAATTTAATATTATAAAAATAATTTTTTCTATTATATATAAAATAAAGTTAATATATCATAAAAAATCGTTTATTTAAATTTGACCATATTTGACCGGTCAATTGACCAAATCCTATTTGACCGGTCAAATGCAGAGCCCTGTGTGTACTAGAGGTTTGCCACGGGGGGGTTCAAACTTCTAGCTCAAGCCCGCCCATACAACTGGCAGGAGAGTTAAATTTTTTTGAACATTGGACGGGTGAGAGGGCGGGAAAGATGTTTTTAAAACAATGGGTGGGTGAATTTTAAGTAGTTTTCGGGCGAAATAAATGGAACTGACTTTTATTTATTAAAAATTATTTTATTATATTGTATATTTTATAAGTTTAAAATAAATCATTGAAATGAAATTCAAAACAACCAATAAAATGATTTTTAAACATTGTGTGGTTGGGTTAAACAAAATTTTTTTCAAACGATAAGCAAGCTAAGTTCAGGTTAAAAATTCCATGGATTTTAGTTTGTGTACAAAATTTTACCCACCGAAAATCATGTTTTCTGATCGATTGGTCATTGTATGACCCTGTATTGGCAATTAAATAGTTGAGAATCTTAATTGTCCAAGCCCTTAAAATGCTTAATCTTCCTAAACTATAATGTAAAACCCACATTCTTTTGGGCACTAAAACAATTTATACACAAAACATGATTATGTTCGAGCTCTGGACAAGTTTTAAAATAATTATGGTTTATTCAATGTTAAGCTATTAACTTAAACCCGAATAGTAAAACATATATATTTTTATTTCTTTTTAAAGGTTGATCCATCTGCCGATAAAGACGATCAAAGTTTTTTGCGGGATATGAATGACGAAACCTTAAATAGGTATATTAATGAATTATAATAAAACAATTTAATGATTGAAAATTATTTTAAATAAAATATAACTATGATTTACAAATACAGATATTGTTTAAAAGATAAAATTTTTTATAAAATTCTCACTTATTACAATTTAAAATGCAGTAAAAGCGATTAAAGTCCACATAACAAAGTCATCACTTCTATACTAGTGCCTTTTTATTTTGCCAGGCTAACCATTTTTTTTATAGTAGGCTTTTTAGTTTTTGCCTTTAAAAAATTACCCTTATACTACATAATGATGGTTAGTTAATATTGTCGTTTCTTATATAATGAATATTTGCAATTATTTTTTAAGCGATTACACCGTGTATATACCTCCTCCGGACACCATCGGTTTGCCTCAAGGGATGATTTATAAGTAATGCGATACTTTGTGAAATTTATTATATTATTATTTTTGTCAATCGAGCTTTAGAAGGAATTGCCAATTTCTGGTTATATCTTAAAGGCATTCATAAATTATAATTCTCAGAAAAATACACTTTTAATGGGAAAAATATTCTTAAAGCTCTTTCTTTCTATTAACTCATTAAAAAATAGATATACCAAATTTCCCGAGCTAGACCCCACATTATTCTACTTACCCGATCTTATTGATTCTGAAACAAGTACCTCAAATTTAATTAAACAAGATGGCGCTAGAGAACCGCCTGAGAGCCCTATCGATGAATTTGGTAGTAACGTGGCGATACCTCCTAAACACCCATCCTTGCAATCTACAACACCTTTAAGTAGCAATTGGTCTTCGAATAATAGTTTGAAAATTTTATGATTAAAACAATAATGAACAGATTGTAATTATTATAAAAGTTCTTTATATTTTCTTAAATTTAAACTATATTTGAAATTTAAGCAAAACGATTATTTAAATATAATTTTTATTTAAAAAAAGATATAAATCATTCAACTCTAATTTATGATTTAACTATTTATTTCTTTATACCTTAAACTTTATTTTATTTATTTTTTATAAGAAGTTACTTTTATAAATATATTCGTTACATCAGGAAATTAATTAATTAGATTTTTTTTAAAAAAGTGTAAGAATATATATTATATAAACAGAAATACCATAGCTAATATTAAAACTGAAAAATTGATCTCATTAAAAGATTTCATTACGGACGTATTAATCAAATTTTTATTATATATTAAAAGATATTTAAGCTTCACTAGTTTGATTAAATATGATTAGTCCATGATTGTATATCATTTTTCTAAATTAAGTATGTTTTATCATTTTATTCGTTTGAAATTCTAAATTTTTTTTAACAATATAAGTTAAATTAGATATGATGAGCTTGCATAAGAATTAACCGGTTGTATTCTATTATTGCACGTATATTTTAACAAATATTTGTTACAAAATTGTACCAAACCAAGGATTCAACGAGAATTCTTGTACATCTTCACCTTGCAAAGGCAGCCCTCTAATAACTCGGACGAAACAAGAGATTAAGTCTGGAAAAAAAGTAAATTTTATAAATAACATTAATAAATAACCCGCTAAATACTTTTCTTAAGGAGCCGGAAATTAAAAACGAGGAAACATTGTAAGCGGGTTACGGGTTTTATACTGTGAATGTTAAATATACATGTTACAAGCATAATTTAAATTAGTAAATACGCGTATTGCCTATAAATAAATTATTCATTGCTAAATTTGTTTAAAATTTATATTTTAAGAATTTTACATTTTTCGACAAAAAGATGCTCAATAAATGCTATAAATTTCAAAAAATTTTATCAAGGCAATACACTTAATGTCTAAACTCTGAATTTACAGTTAGCGCTAAGGCTAACGACTAGGTGGAAAATACAAAATATAGTAAATACCATAACGCATTCATAGTTATCGAGTTTATGAATGAACCTTAACCTGATTGCAGCTAATTTTTTAAAACAAAACGTTTTACGTTTTTCACGCGATTTTTTAAGAGAAAGCAATAAAAATTTTTTTTGAAGATATTGAACTTTAAAATTAGGTTAGAATATTTTGCCGCAAATTTGTTTCGCTTTTTGCTTCGCATTAACTATGAATTCTGAGTAAGACATCTAAAACGATTATATTATTTGTTTCACAAATTCGGATATGAAAATTCTTATCTATTTACAAATATTATATTCAGATAGCGCAAATCAATTTTGACAACCCCGTTTTTAAAGCTAGGTAAATATATTAATATATACTAGTTTTTAAATATTTGTTATCCATTAGAGTAAGAAAAGCACAAGGTAAATTTAATTTAAGCATGTTAAATTAAAAATTTTAAATATTTTTTTTGCACTTCGTAAATGATAAAAGATAGACATTAAAAAGGGGTAGAAAGAGATTTGGCAAAAAAATAAATAAATTGAACAAAATGTTTAAAATAATAGAAGAAGGAAATGTGCCCACGAGTCAATATGATTATTATGGAGTTCTAAATCTAATTTCACCAATTTTGTAGGGGAAAGGTTATTTTAAAAAATACTTTTACAATCTCATTATTGCTTCAAGTAGAATGAACTATATTTTAGTTACATTTTGTTTTTTTTAGTAGGGATGGAGGTAATTTACAATTATGCGATTTTGGTATTATCTCCATTTTCACCAAAAATATCAATAGACGTAGAACTGGAGACCTGCATAGGATTGCCATTGCTCCCTCATTATGGTAGACTCCTCCATTTTTCTCAAGAAAAATAAAATATCCCCACTGACCAAAGTCCCCAATTTATACCCCATTTTTAAAAAATTTCAAAAATCTATCACATACCACGAATTTTTTTTTTAAATATGAGGAATATAATTAAAATTTATAATGATAAAATCTAGCACTTTTAAAATTTTTTTCATCTGACCATTCTGGACCTCCATTGGGAGGAGCCGCGAAATGCTATTATTTAAAAAAATACTGGGCAAGGTTTTAATATAATAAAAAATTCACAAACCCGGGTTTGCATTACTTTAATAGAAATTATATCAATTATCCAGTTGATAATGGATTATATTATCATTCCTTGGCTTCGCATAGTTTCCATTTCCACCTGAAATCATTTATAAATAGCAGCCAAAATTATTTAGAATGACCAAATTTTAAAATTTTATACTGGGCCAAAATATGCAGTCTTTGTATAGAACCTAATAATAATAGTCATGTAACGAAATACAAGACAAAAATACATTATAGATAATTTTTTGTGTCATAAATTATAAACGTATAACTTTTCAATTTGCAGGTTCTTGTTAAATTCCTGTTTTTCCATATGGTTCTTGTATCTACCGGCCTACGTTAAATTTTGTCAGAATAAACGCAAGGCTCTATACTGCGCTTTGGAAATTTTGACTCAAATTCCCAAAACTGGAATAAAGTTTCCTAACGAAGTAAGAACGATTTTTGGAATAAAATATATTTGATGTTTTATTTATATATATATATATATAGTTAGAAAATATATTGGACTTTTTTAAAAATAAATTAGGAGACTACTATAAATTTTAAGTATGCCTTTGGGATAGATATATACTATTAAATTTTGTTAAGTTAAAATTTCTACAAATATTTATATTTTTTGAATTATTGAACATTTAAAAAGTATTTGTTTACACGCGAAATTATATATTATTTTTTATATGTTTTTCTTTAATATATTTCTCCTCAATTACAAAAAGTTATGCTATCGTATATTGTTACAATTATGCGGTATTTACAACGAGTCCCTGATAGCTGTAAGAGTGTTGAAAGAGATGCGGAGATTAGGATTGCACCCCAACGCTGTCACATATGGATATTATAATAAAGTATTTAGTCTTTCAAAAAATTGTTTTATTACATTTATCTCATTAAAGTAAAAAAATAATCTAAAAATAAGTTAACAGTCCCATAACCAGAGGTGCATTTATATTACACTTTTGAATAATGTTAATGATTCCATAACTAGAGATGATCCTATATTACCTTTTTATCTAATAACAATGTGTGACAAATTTCGACTTGATTTTTTGGGAGAAAATAAAATAAACATGTTTTAAGACAGTTTTTTAAGCATATTCTAAATCCGCTGTCAGTTTTTTTCTAGCACGTCAGGTTTTTTATTTATTTTAGGTTAAAGTGGCCAAAAAGGTCATTTTAGCACTTTTTGAAGGTTTATAACTCCGGTTCTAATGATCCCAACAACTAAAAAAATATTAATTTTTGCAGCAAACCTTCCTTATTATTATTATACATTTTTTTTTATAAAATCCTTACTCAATTTTTAAACAACCTATATTTTTTAAATTTACCTTTATTTATAAAATCTTTTTTTAATATAGCTTACATTTAATATATTTATTTATTGTGGCTTTCGTTCTCTTCGCTTTATGAAAAATTAATCGAAAAAAAATAATTCTTCTCCTTTCTTCCTACTCGTTATTTGGCATTATTATTTATTGCCCATACTACGGGTTGATATAAATTGATTTTAAAAACAAATATTCTTAAATACATCTAAAAAATATGAAAAAATTACCAATATTGCATTTTAAATGAATTTTGCTTCAAAAATGCTCAATTCAAAAAGAGTACAAATTAAAAAAGTGGGTACAGATATTTGATTTTGGTATAAATTGATTATAAATGCATAAAATATTATTAAATAAAACTAAAGATAAATATTACCTTAATTTTGCTTTGAAAATGCTTTATGCAGAGAAAATTCAATAAAAGTGTACAAATTAAAAAGTTCGAAAATATCTGTACCGACTTTTTTAATTTATAGATTTTGGTTGAATTTTCATGGCATAGAGTACTTTTGAAACATAATTAGAATTAATATATAATCTTGAGCATATTTGAAGCAAAATTATATAAAATTTATCTTCTAAAGTTAATAATTTTGATAGTAATTTAAATTGAAACTTAAGAACCCCAAAACGAAATTCTTTACCATTTTTCTCAAAAACCAATATAAAAAATTATAAAAATTAATAAATTTATAAAGAAATATAAGTTTAACACTATCACCAATTTTCAGGGATTTTTATTCGATACTTTTTAAAATATATCCGTATAAAGATCTAAATTTTACCATTTTTGAGATTTCGAAAAGTTGTCTTTATACGGTAATATTTTTAAAACTTGACGTGTAGGGAAAATTTGGAAACCGAATTCGAACTCAGCGTCAAATTCTGCACCAAAACTTGTTTTTATTTTCTTCTCCCATTTTTCTTGTCACACAATGTAATCGATAATAGCACCCTAGCGGTCGATCCCCAATATTGACTAATACCAAAAATAATAGTTTATTGATATTTGAATTTTTTATTAGGGTCATTCCATGCTGGATTGATCACGATTCATCTGACCACTTGAAATTTGGGTGAAATATTGTATAAATTACAAGTAAATTAAACAATGTTCAAATGTTGGCATCCTAGTTCTTATATTTTTGAAGATTCTATTTTATAAAAATTTTTATTTTTTTATGTCCTTGTAAAAAATGATCTGTTTCTTGATTTTTGTGAAATTTTAAGAAAATATCACTAAAGCCATATATCTGTATAAAAGAAAATTAGAATTCTAAGTTTTCGCTTTCATAGGCAAAATTGATAAAAACACAAATGATAATTATTTTTTTTATTGAATATAGATAACATATGTAAGTAAATGTTCTAATATTATATAAAATATATTTATATGTTATTTTTATAATAGAAAAGAATCAATCTACTATATAATATGCAAAATTTTAGATTTTAAAAGAAATTAAAAAAAATTCTGTGGTTGAATTATTTAAAAAAATATTTTAGAATATATAATATGAAAAATTTTAGATTTTAAAAGAAATTAAAAAAAATTCCCATGGTTGAATTATTTAAAAAAATATTTTAGAGTAATATAAGTATAATACATGTTACTATGTGTTTGTAATTGTTTCCTTGCCAATTTAAATTAAAATATTGCATAAATCTGTGTAATAGATTCTTTACTATAATTAGAATATCATATAAAAACTTTTTAAATAATATTAGAACAATTAATTACATATTATGCCAAAAAATGTTTTTATTAGCTTACTTCACAAAAGTTAAATTTTGACATTCCAATTTTTTTTAAATACAGATATAAATTAATATGGTGAATCATCAAAATATTATAAACATCGGAGAAATTTATTATTTTCTACAAAGATTTTAAACTTTAGAATGGAGATAAATGAATCATCACATTAAAAAAAAATTTTTAATATTTTTTTAAAAAATAGAATATTTTATTTTGATATTAAAATCAGTTATAATACTGTAGTTTTTAGTTAATTTTTATTTGAATAACAATCGAACCGTAAAAATAGGCTATTTTTAATAGACCTTTGATTCTCCAAAAATATAAAAACTAGGATGTTAAAATTTGACACTGCCTTAGTTTCTGGTACTTTAGTTTGTATACAAAAAGATTCAACTATCGATTTAATATGGAATGACATTATAATTAATAGTCGGTTCATTCTAACAGATTTTGGAATATTTTTTTGATGAATATTATTTATATATGATTAGATTCAAGTTCAACCTTTTAGAAGATACTCTTCATTAAATAATGAGGAGTATCTTTATGAAAAATGATAATATTTTATATAATCTAAGTTTACTTTTACTAGGCTGTCTTCGAAAGCGACTCAAATTCCACCAATCTATCGGCACAAATCTCCTGGGCTAAGATAAAGAACGTAGTCATAGCATGCGGCCATTTCAAAAGGAGCTGCCCTTATTTTTACACTTATTCCAGGAGAACCTTTGATTTGATTAAGAACAATAAATCAAACATTAATATTGCTTACGGTAAAGGTGTAGATAATAATAAACAATACGATAATACTGACGGCACATATAAACACAGGAAGCAAATCAGAAATATTACGGCTTCTTACAATGGTGGGCAGATGGAAATTTCGGGTTATTATTCAGAACCAGAAGGTATTTTTATACTATATTACATAAATTTAATTTGTATTTAAGAAATTTTCTGAATATTTTTAGTGCTGTAAACTTTAATCATAAGTTACTCGTTATTTATTTACACACAAAAATGTAACGTCAATGAATTTAATATTTATAGTGACAATTCCACGCCCCAAGATACAAGCTTTTAATTCAGAACCAAACCTGAGCAACATTAAACAGGATATATGTGTTATATCTTCCTCTGAGAAGTCCCAGCCTGGAAATGGTATAGATTCTTTATTATACTATCAATAATTTTATATGTATAAAACAAATTGTCTTCTCTTGAAAATATTTTTATCCCTCCCAAACCCACCAGACTTAACCCCCGCCGATCACCCCAATATTTCTACTACTTTTTCCAATATTTCCAAAACTCCGCCAATCCGAAAATCCAATACCGAATCTCCCATCGCAAAAATGCTTTCCCGGCGTTTAGACAGCTTCCTCACGAAACTCGATAATGCTTTATTGGTTCACTATCCTCCCTCCTTGTCATCCTCCAATAGTCTCTTGAATAGCAATGCGGATATTCCAAATACTTCGATCGTTTTAAATAATAATACGATGTCAAACATATCAAATGTTACGACAGATGTGACAACTCATAATAACTCGTTTTCTTTACCACCTTCTGATAATTTTAACGCTAGCGTCAATAAGACACCATTTTCTCGTCACCGACTATCTTTGCCGCAAGATGGATCGTGGGCAAGGTAAGTTCTAAAAAATATGCTAAATATTATTTATAAACCCCCCAAAATGCAGACATTTTATTTTGTTCATTTAAATTTTAAACAATCGTGTAAATTAGCAATCAAATATTTTAAAACTGCATCCTAGATATGACAATATTTTTTTTATATTGTGCTTTATAAAAGTTTTAAAATTTGAAGATTTTTATTTAATTTTTATTATAAACTCCTCTTTCCTCTCGTTATTGAATATAAGTGTTATCTTTTATTTCTAACTGAATTTAAACCTTCTTTTATTTTCGAAGTAAACTCAGTATGAACAGCAGCAACGCACCTTATGATAAATTGAGCGACAATATACGCCATACCAATCAGTCCCATATAATCCCAGATAACCCAACGACCGCCCTTATGAAATCCGCGGCGGGTCTTGTGGGAGACAAGATAAAAAAATTTATAGCTACAGCATCGGACCAATACTTTATCGCGGATCATCACAAAACGGATTATATTCCAGATAACAAATCAATCCCCGAGAATCAATGTAATAAATACAGTGCGAATAGTAGTAAACCCTCTTTCTTCCTGGCCGATAGGGTAATGTGGGCGGATTATTCCGCCTTTTATCAAGGCCACATTGAAGCAGCATTGGCTAAACATCCCAATTATAAGTTAATAAAAGCTTGATAACAATTTGGTATATAGGTGGTTGTTTAACCTTACATAATTACAAGTTAACTTACTTAATTTACTATCTTATAAGTGGAATTTAATCGGGTTGATAAAAATATGAATTTTTGTCGTGATTTGAAGGGAATGGTTTGTGATGAACAAATTTTAAATTTTTTATTGCGGAAATTTTGCCAATTTTTTTTATAGTAACCCATTTTTCTTAATGGCCAGCCTCGATCCAATATTACACTGGGTCTGAGTGGTTGTCTAAAAATAAGTTCATGTTTTAAAATGTCCTTCAAACAATTTAATTTTTGGAACTTTGATTTTTTAAGATATCAAGGGTCATAGTATAATAAATTAACTTCTACACTTATTGCCATTCAATTAAAGATTAACTAAAAACTAGCTCATTATAAATAACAATTTAAATTACATATAATTTATGGATAAAAAAATCGTTTTTTCGTGGAAAAGCACTTTTAAAAAAAACTGTTTTTTGTTTTGTATGTTTTTTTCATTTTTTACAACAGATTATATTTAAAAAAGATTCGTTGTTTTTTAGTTATGTATCAATACGACCTTTTGAAGGTCAATCCGATATAACTAATTTGATTTTGTTATACATATGCAATTTAATTTAATATATTTTAATTTTTCAATGAATCTTCCCTTTTTAATATAATATATTATATTGCCACCTATGATTAAACTATGGCCATAATATTTTAAATAATACTATCAAATTTTAGTTAACCTATTATTTTATATTTATTCAGTTAACTGACATTTATAATAATACCTATACTGACCATTCATTCACTAATACAAATCAGTTGGTATTATGCCATTTTGGTTTTCCATTATAAAGAATTTACATTAAAATTTTATGATTCATTTATAACAAAATATGAAACCAAAATGACCCGTCACTAGCTATTTGTATTCAACGACGCTTCAAAATGCATTTTAATGATGTAATTAAGCATATAAATATTATAGTAAAACAAATGCAATCTTTTTCTTATCCCAAAAGTCTTTATATCTTTAGAGAGTAGATAGTCTATTCATGATTATGCCGATTCCAAAAATTTTAAAAACTTTATTTTTTTTAAACATATTCATATTTTTAATTATTTGTTAGCTTCAAAAACATTATCACTTCAATTATATAAGAATATTCTTAACTTGCACACAAATTTATTTTTTAAATAAATAATAAATTTAAAAAAATTAAATAAGACACCATTATATCGGATCAGAAAATTTAATAATATCGGCCTGTGGGTCCGATCCGATAAAAAATATCGATAAAACCTTATTTTTAAAATGTTTTTTTTTATATTTATACTATTAAAACCAAAATTCATCATTCCATTTTTTATAAAGATATAGATTGGTCTAAGTTGCATTTCCCTAAAATTTTATAAAGAGAAATTCAGTATTTGTTAAAAGGATTTCAGATTTATAATGTGGTTAAATGGACCACCACATTAAAAAAATAAAAATATTTTTAAAAAATCTTTAATTGAAATATAATCAATCTAAGTATAAAAATAGATCCAATTTCATACTCTAACCTTTCACATCTCCAAAAATATAAGTGATAAGTTCTAAAATCTAGACCATATTTAGATAAGCATTATCTTAACTTCTATACCCAATTCCTAATGGTTTCGTTGAAAATATTTTTATGAGGAAATTATAAATTACATCATATTATACGAAGTTTTAAATTTATCATTTCGATGATTTATATCCAGTTATTTTTATTAAATTAATCATGAAGAAAAAGTGATATTTTTAAATGAGTTTATCAAATAAAAATATACCCTTTTTTAGAAGCGAAGACGAACAACGCGAATTTGCAATTCGTTCCAGTGATAATTATAGTGACGATGTATCACTCAATTTTGACACAAATGCTGAAAATGTATCCAGTGAGTTATATTTATAAGTTTTTAAAGCTAAAAAAATGTTGTAATAAATTAATACTGTAAAAATTAATCTTTTTATGTTAAAAAAAACTACTTTACAATTCAGTTTAAGGTAATACTACCGAATTTTATAAAAGTTTTTTTAAAAAAATAATATTCGGAGTTACGAATAGTTGAAATGATTTATTTATGGGCAAATTAAAAATCGAGAAAAAGTGAAAATGAATAAAATAAATAACTAGGGAATTTTTTAAAAAATAAAAAGTATAAAGAAAAAAATAATTCTTACAGTTCACAGTTTTCAATTTTATTTTCGCTAAATCAATTTTATTATTTTTTATTTTACCTTTTCTTTAAATTTTTAGTATCCAACCAAAACATAAGCTGCTACTCTAAACCACTACAATCGATGGGTAACGAAAATCTATGGGATCTAGAAAAATTCGAGGGTTCTAAACTACATAAACTCGACAAAAATAATCCTTACTTACTTTCCATATTGAAAGAATTGGTTTTACAATCTGGAAATGTCGATAGCTTGACCACCGCGGTTAACGAAAGATATTTTCGTTCAGATGAGAGGGATGGGCAGACGGGGAAACATGTTGTCGGAGTAAATTTGTCATTCTTGTATTAATTAGTATGGTCTTAAATATAATATAAGAATTCCATTTTAATTAATAAAAAAAGACTATTTTTTAACCGAACTTTGCGGATATTTTTAGAAAAATTTAAATGATAATATTTGTTATGACCAAAAGAATACATTTTTCTCAACTCCGCTTAACTTCCGGATGGCTCTTCAAAAAAACGAAAGATTTAGAAAATGCACTTTATTTAATTTAGATTATCTCACGAAATAATTAAGATAAAGTAGTGATTTAAATTTTATTTTGTAGCTAAAAAATGATAGTATTTTTTTAAAAAAATATGATTTATGACTAAAAACGATAAATGTGTATATATTTTTTTTTCTTATAGTTTGTAGTTTTTTTTAAAATTAAAATGTCTTTCTTTGTTTATAAAAGGGATTTTTAAATCATAATTATTGATTAATGCTAACCTTGCTTAAAATTTGCTAAAATAGATTAAGAAAAATCTGATAAACATATTTATATCCACAGTAATTTATTTTAATCGTAAACCATAATATTAATTAACTTGATCCAAAATTTTAAATTCTGAAGATTATTATCAAATAAGTTTAGTTTTACCACCCCATATCAACTTTTAATCACAAATATTTTAAACTTAAACAAAGATTGAAATGCAGATAAGGAGATTCAAATTTAGATAAGGTTCAAACATCAAAGTAATATATTGCAAAAGTATCGAATTCATGTAACCATAGGTAAAAAGGAGCAGGGATGTTATATTTTACTTGGTCGACATACTCTAACAGAGTAGGATGCACTATTCTTTAAGAAAAAAACGACTTTAACTTTCGAAACTAGGAAATTTAACCATAAAAAACTTATTTGCATGCCTGCAACAAGTACACAAATTCTTTTCCCTCTACATTTTATCTCATAGTCTATTTTCAGTAGTGTAATTGTTTGAAAATGTTGAATTATCATCCTCATTAGCGTCATCTTCCTCTAAAATGCTACCATCAGAAGATTAATTGTCATAAGAGGAAATCATATTTGTAACTAATTGATTACATACGAATTACGAGTGATAAATATTTTTTTATTATAAATTAGGAAAAGGATAAAGAAATATTAAAAAAAAATGTAATTAATAATTAAGAAAGATGCCATAAATTATAAGCCAATTCGCGGTGAAGTACAAAATATGATATTAATTTAATAATTTTACATTCATTTTTGTATACTTCGCCGCGAATTCGCGCTAACTGTAAATGCAGGGTAATCGTCATGACTTATCTGCTCGACCTAATACATAACTTTATGCAAAAAGAATGCAGTCATGTAGTATCTTTAGGTAAAAAAACATTTTTTATATCCTTTTTCTGTTTTTAGTAATAAATTAATTTTGATTATATAATAAATTTTATGTCATATTAAAGTGGTAAATAATTAAATCGAAACCATAGCTATAGTTTAATGTTTCCTTGGATATTTGGGAAATAGGTGAAGTGCACTGCTCCAATTTTTTATTTTTAAGAGCTCATAGTATCTAGATCATTTTACAAAATTTAAAAAAAACCCGAAAGGGTCGGGTTTTAAATCGTTGATTGATTTAATATGGATCAATAATTGAAGGAATTATATTATTGTGTATATTAAATCGAAATTTATATAGCCAACCAAACTCAAATCCTTGTCTCACCTTCAATTATCCGCCATGCAGGAATTGATAGCCCCTAATTTAAATATTTCGAATAATTCCCCAATTCGTAAAATAGATCAATTAAAACCAGTTTCAACTGATCCTAAGGTTTACAACAAAATATTTTGATAAAACTTTTTATTTTAAAATAATATCATTTTTTTTTCGAATATAGAGGTTATATTAAAGCAGTACCTCAGATATTTGAACATTATTATATTACAAATTAATGCGAGTTATTCTGGCCTAGTTTTTTTTGTAGTCTATTATTTTATATTAAAATATTTCTGTAAAGTTTTTATGCATTTTTATTAGATAGTGGTTGAGATATAAGAATTTTTTTAAGACTGTGGTGCTCTATCCTACATTGGTACTCGCATTATTTGTTTTTTAAGCATATTACTCAAAAGCAGAGTTTGAAAGATTTTTTTTCAACAAAATTTGTGATTTCATCATGAAAGATTTTTTATGCATAAAAATCACAAAAGATGCATTTATAAAAGATTTTTTTTAAAAAGAGATTTGGAGATTTAGGTAAAAGTTGATCAAAAAAAATCCAGTTTGGGCATTCTTAAAAAATTTTCTTTTTAATTTTTTTTGGCGTTATGGAGATTTAGGTAAAAGTTGATCAAAATCCTGTTTGAGCATTTTCGAAAAAAATCTTCTAAAATTTTTTAAAATTTAAAGTGCATTTCAAACTCTTCTCAAAAGTGTTTTAAAAAATTGTCCGTTAAAGAATAGATTGAAACTCTTATTAAAATATAACAAGCAAAATATGATTATTCCTAATTTAATTTTTAGCTAAATGGCAAAAATAGTCACAAAAGGACTTTATCATATCAGAATTATATGACTTTCGGGTCGGAGCGATTGAATAGAGCGAATTCCTGCCGATTTTCTTCATCCATTTCCAGTATTATCAATAAGGAAGCTGGTTTGAGTATTATAAATGGCAATGACCGCCTTAAAAGGTTTAAATTTTTATCCGATTTTTCCATCCATTATTATAATATTAATTAATCATAGTCATTTTATATAGTAAGCAGGTAATTAAACTATGATACTTTGTATGATTTTTAATCAATATTATTAAGTGATAAAGGAAGATAGTCGTTTTGTTTCGACCGGTAACTTGTAAAAATTAAATTATAAACGTTTAGTTACATTTACAATATTAATAAATATCTTTTTCTATATCATTCTATTTAATTTTAGCGAGCGGAAAGTGCCGATAAAGAAAGTAAACAGGATAACTATGTCAACTTGTATGGCCTGCCCGCATTGCCATCTCCTTATATACGATGAAGATATTATCATGGGATGGTATCCGGATGAATCCAACCTTAATACCAAGTTATTATTTGTTTAGTACACAACCTCAAATAGATAAATTAAGATATTAGGGAAGACAGATAGAATTAGTTGGAAAGGGTGGGTTAGTAGACGAAAGTAATTTTTTAATAAAAATAAAAATTATTAATTTTTTTTTTAAATGTATAGATGCCGTTATTGTAAAAAAAACTTTGTACCCACTATTCGAATCACTCTCAAAGTATATACTATCTATTTAAATAAATTGTTAAATATTTATTTACTTATTCACCTATTAAAAAGCCATGTTTTTAAAATTGGTTCTCCCTTCTGACTCCAATGTTGTCATATCTAGATATAATGTGTCCTGCGATAATATTAAAATATTTTACATCAATTTGTTAGACACCTGGCCAGCCATATTGTTATTTGATTTATTGCTTTTATTTTTATATGTCATAATTTCTTTTTCCATATTACAATATCATATACTTTATTTCATATTAATATTATAAATTTTATAATCTATAATTTTATATTCTGATCTTACAATTTCTTATAAGCTTTATATATAAATTAATAAGGTTCATTTGAATATAAAATAAGTAAAAATATTATATATAAATTTTGGTTATTTAGATATTCAAATAATATATTTGATATTTCGTTAATATTTAATTCTTATAATTTATTTAAAATATTATTTTACTCAATATCATAATTTATTATTATTATTATATATATCTAACAGAATGTACTGTCTTCACAAAATGCTGTGCCGTTGTGATTATAATTTTTGATATATAATATTTTCACCTTTAAAACTGTTAAGATTGGGCGAAATTGTCAATTTATTTATCACATATTTAATTATATATTTTAGCGGCAATGTGTTATTTTTTCAACTTTAAATTATTTTTTGAGCGCGATTTTTAAAATTTAAGGATCTTTTTACCAGAAATGTATTCCATCATGTTTGAAGTATCTACTCTATGAATTTCATACAATTTTGACTTTTGAATTAATATAATTTATATTTGTTTTTCAATGATTTTTTTATATAAATTATAAATGACTTAAAGGTTAATGGCAAAATTACCTACAATTCATAAGATAAGTATTCTAAACATGCTGGAATATATTTCCGGTAAAATCAGATTTATAAATTTAAAAAAAACTTTCAAAAAAGGATTTAAAGTTGAACAAATAACACATTGTCTGCAAAAGCAAAATATAAATAAAGTAATTTAATTTACTCTTATCGAAATCAAAATTTATCTATTTAGTCTTAATATAATATAAATAGTTTTCTATTAACTGTAAAAACTGAAATAAATAGTAATACAAACCTCCTAAGGTGTAGTAATTAAATGAATTACATCACGTTGAACACCTCAACAAAAACTTTTAGATAATGTAAACATAAAAATTGAAGGAAAGAATGATTATTTAAAATATACATAATATTTTTTTTACAAACAATGATACAGTTACAAAAATTGAAAGATACTTTCTTATAATTTTTCAAGGAAGTAGACTATTCCAAAATAAAACAAAATATAACTTTCCTTCGTAAATTCGATCGCCTCCAATCTGCCAAGAGGCAATTGTCTCAAGATAAAAGCATGGGATCTCGTTCTAGCTCTAATTTATGCGGTTTTTTTATAATTATAAATATTTAAAAAAAAAAATGTAATATTAAAATTTCAGCACCAGTCTTACATCTTTTTCCTAAAAATCTTGACTCCCATTTTGAGCGTGATTTTATTATATAGTTTGTAGGATTCAAATTGAAACGGCAACTTTACAGTTGAATTTGATAGTCTTTTTTTTAGATGGCATGCTTATTTATATAATTTTAAAAATATATTACGAATAAATACAAGCGAATTCTTTTTTATGTACCCAAACTAAGATGGAAGCGAATCGCTATCTCGCCATTCCTTATCTAAAAATCAATCATCTTCGACCGCTTCCCAACAATTCGCTTCCTACCTTTCATCCTTCACTGAGACTACTCAAAATATCCATAATCTAATATCCCTTACAGAATATATTTGTGGTGCCATCAAAGGTTCCGATAAAGAATTGAATGACACACAAAAAATAGATCATTCTAAGGAAAAGGAGAAGGTTCAAAATGATAAAAATACAAAGGCCGATTCTTCTTCTTGCATTCGCAATGGAACAGAAGCAAAGGACGTCTCAGATCAAGCTAAATCTAAGTTTAAAGTTTTAAACACCCCAAACTTGGTTAGATACATAATTTATTACAATACAATGAAATTAAGTATGTTTTAGAAGCGCAAAGATTTTTTTAAAATTTTTACTAATTATTTTATTACGACTTCAGAAAAATATTTAACCAACTATCTGTAATAGTCATATGTTTAATTTTTTCCCTTTTAAAATAATGTATTAACTCGAAGCAGCAACCATACCTAAGCCCCCTTGTACTTCAAAAAGAGCTAGAAAACATACTTGAACACGAAGGTAACGAGGAGTGCTTGCTAGACCCTTCCTTTGTTGATCACCACGCCTGTGTGTATTGGAATCTACTTTGGTACTTTAATCGCTTCAAACTGCCGTCTTTCCTGTCCGATTTAACCCTGAAACATTGTTTCCGCGCATGGGGTGATTTTAATGATAATGAATTTAACGATAAAAATGAAACAATGGACGTAACTGTAAAGGATAAATTGGAAGAGAGGGAAACGGAAAATATTAGCAGCGATATATCAATAGGGGGTGATAATGGATCCCTAGGCGGTAAAAATGGTAATCTTGCTTTCAAGCAAGTATCCCTCATCTCTGACATGATAAAAAACTTTGATGATAGTTATAATACCGGTGGAAAAGATACCATAAATCAAAGGTTTCTTAACAATGATGATAACGAAATATTTGCCATGAATATTCCAGAAGCCGAAATAAATATATTTAAAAATAATCCATCATCATCATCGCTTGATAATATATCCATTGTGAGTGTTCAATTTATTAATTTTTGTTTAAACAATTTTTTTTGCAGATCCAACTGTAACAATTATCGGTTAGGTTCAAAAATAACGTTTCAGGTTCGGTTTGTAAAAATAATAATGTCGGTTCCGTTTAAACCTTTAGAACCCAGTTACTTTTCGCATTCAAACTTAAGATGTAAAGAGAAGCATATTTTTCAAAATATCATTAAAAAAATAATATTGAGCCATATATGATTAAAATATTTTTGCATTCTGTCATATATGAGGAGAAAGAATAAATTCTATGGTTGAGAACACTTTTATATGCTAACATGTGTAGCTGGAACTGTAAAATAACAATGTATAAAAATTAAAACGAGTTAGGATACCAAAAGGTTCAAAATTAGTTCACACGGACCCTTATAGAGGTTCGGGTTAATAATGGTTCATACCGGTTTAATGGTTTAAGTTCAATTTGAAGCCATGGATTATCTAAATTATATAGTCTAGTTCTAGGATGTACCCAATCATGCTAGATAATTTCAGGATCATTCAACGATAGAAAATCCCACTTGTGATCACCTATCAAATAATCTATTTTAAATGAAATTTTTTTTTATATACCGATGATCATCTTTAAAAAATTAAAAAACGAAATGTCCCGGTTATATATAGATAAAGGGGAAAATAATAATTTAATTTTGTTTTACCATATTAAGCTTACATGATTAACATTTTTTTAAAGAACGTAATTAGCGATGAATCACAAAAGCAGATTCCCCTCGAGATTCTGGCTTTATGGGACGATTTGGATCTTTACATTCGAGAAAATACCAAAATACCACTTTATCTGCATCAATATTTATATCAAAGTTAGCCATAATTTGATTGTTATAATAAACTTTAACTTCTATATCGTAATCATAATTACAGATTATTTTATTTTTATTAACTTAATTAGACTTATTTTTAAAGAATATTATTAGAATAATTCTGAGCCTATTTACCAAATTATATTTTAGACAGTAATAAATACAGTACCTCTAACTAATTAAACCCTGTTCAATAGGCATTTTTTTCAACTGTTAAGGGAACCCCTTCAAAATCTATCGTGCGTCCGAAACTGATTAAAAGTTCATCTTGGTTTATTGACTAATTGGTCATTCAAACTACCTATTCATAATTTATAATCATCAATTTTAATAAATTGCTATAATTAACTTATTTTTAGATGAACTCCACGATATTCTAAAATCTATAACCTCGTATCCCCTGCACACCATAGTCGATGAAAGGTAGATTTATACCGAATAATTATTATAATACATTAAGATTAAAGTTTTAAAGTTAGACCTAAACTAATAATGACCATAGTTCATATTCTTCCACGAATATAGAAGCTCTTAGAAATTCTAGGGAAATTAATTTATGAGGGTTGGGAAAGAATTATTTGTATATATTTTTTTCAAAGTAATTCAGTATGAAAAACTTAGATTGCCTTTTAGAGATCTTACTGACATTATATATGAAATATATGGTTAAAACAAACTGGTTACTTTATTTTAAATTCTTATCCATATATACTATTTTATTATTATTAAATTTAACTTCTATAAGTATTCAATTAGACTGACCTTTTATATAATATATTAAATATAAATACTCTATATTATTTTATGACTAATATATTATTTAAATAACGTTGAATAACCTTATAAAATATAACAAATACATTTTTTTTGTAATAATAACTAGGACTTCTAATATTATAATGCCAAAGTAATTCGAATATTTTAATTATTGCAATGATCTTAAGAGCTATTTTCATTTGGAATTATTTCTACATTTTTCGATACACCTTATTTAATATTTGTTGGATTTATTTTTTTAAAATTTTTTCATTTGGAATTATTTCTACATTTCTCGATACACCTTATTTAATATTTGTTGGATTTATTTTTTTAAAATTTTAAATGATAATAAATATAATAAGATCATGTTCAGGTGATAGGTTTGGATTAAAATAATATATGAATATCAAAATTGGTATTCAATTTAATTATTAAAATTGCCTGATTTTACCGAAAACGTAATTAGGGCTATAATCAAGTATGGACTAGGGTTAGTTCATTCGATGCGCTAAGACTAGAGTCGTTAAATTTATTTAATATTTAAATTGGATGAGTATGTATAAATGTAATTTTTTAATAGAAATTATAAAAATACCACTCACAATCTATCCACTTATCTAAATATCTTTATTCAAATATATAAAACATGTTTTTACTTTACAATCATTTATTTAAAAAAATATTAATAACAATATAATTAAAAAGATAAGGCTATATCTTCTTTCCAAAAAAATGGTTAAAAATTAACAAAATTAAAAATTTAGTATATACAAAAATGTTATAAATCAATTAATTAATAAACAAAACAAATTTAAAAATGGATGTAGTAAAGCAGACTAAATTAATCCAATATAATTTTCTCTAATATATTTTAATCCAAAATCTGCATTACACTCCAATATATAATACGATATATAAATATTATATATAAATATTATATATAAAAATACAATACAAAAAAAGGGATATAACTCAATGTTTAGAAGCTATTTCAAAAAACGATCTATTTATGGCCCTCCTACCTATCTTATTCCGGCTCAAAAATGAAGGAGGACCTAACATTTCGAATACTTCCAAAAATTTTAATCATCAAATCAAGAGGCTGGGGCTCTATAGAGAGATTCTCTGGCTATCCTTGCTCCTACACAACAAATTAAATTACGGTTTTTAACAACAAAAAAATATCTTAAAATTTTATTTAATCCAAGATATAATTTATATAATAAATGCGCAATCGCGTCGTTTACAGGGAAAAGCATTTGAGAAAAAAGTTTATTTTGAGCTTGCCTAAATAAAAAAAAATTGGAAATTTTAATAGTAATTGATAAGAGCTAGTGATGCTACTTATAATAGGAACTAAAAAAAATTTTAAACAATCAGTTTATGTATATACTTTATTAGGGGAGATAAAATAAAAACAAACAATATTTTGACATCTTCAGCGGTCAGTGAGTTGACCGCTTTAGCAGCCTCACTGATGACATAATCAGAAAAAGATTGTTTATTTATTAATGATTAACATAATTTCATATCAAGCAATTATATCATTAATCATGACATTACCTATTAATAAGGCAGATATTTTTGGAGATATTATATTACTAATTTGCATCATAGGCTTTACCCAAAATATCAAAAAATTTTATTCGTAATTTAAAACTTTATCGAAAAAGAAAAAATAAACTCTTTTTTGATATTAAGATAAATAGAAAATCAAACATTTAACATACGATTTCACTAAAATCTTAAAACTTCTGAGACTTTTAAAACTTTTATAATTTTTTAAATTTTGAACATAGCCTATCATCTTAAGCTTGATTTTTGTTCGAAATCGAATAGTTTATCAAATATTATATTTTAATCATATCTTTACATTACTTTTTGGGAAAATAAAAATACTTTATACAGAGGCCTTTGATTACGAATACAAGCGCGCGTTTAACAAAATTAAACACGAATTTTCCGACCTTTTACAACCCGATGATATGCTAAATATTGAAAATATTTTCGTGTTTCAAAAATATTTTTGCAAAGTTTTATGTTTATGATCCAAATTAAAAAAAAATAACTCTTTTAAAAAAATAATTTGTATTTATTTATTAGTTTAATTTTGAAGGAAAATTATTTATAATTTAATATTTTAAATGACATTTTAAAATTAAAACCAAAAAATTCCTTTTTTTTGTATAATCAACCATTATTAATTTTATAGTAAATTAATGTTCAAAGCAATTATTATCTTTATAACTTATATAAGATGTTTGTAATTATGATTTAAAAATTATTTTGTAAAAATGCAACTTCGCGTCATTATGAGTCCGATTTATATTCAATAAATAAAATTTTGTGTTATTTATTAAAATTTAAAATGCTCTATGACTGACTATAGATTATTATTTTTTTTTAAAAAACAAAAAGTATTTTGAATCAACATTTTCTGAGCAAGTTCAAATTAATAAAATTAACTATTAGAACTTAAATAATTGGATAACAGTTATCGACTTTGATTTTTAGATATAGTATAAATCAGAGATCTAAAAAAATGGTATAATTTTAAAAATTTGGAACGGACTTGAAAATTCTAAAAAAAAAATTAAATATCCCGGACAGTTCGAGTTTATAAAATTAAAAATTTCGGCTTAACCAATTAAAAAATATATAAATTTAAATTATATCAATTAATCAGTTAGAAGATTATAAAATGAAGCGTTTAAAATTTTAATTCTTTATTATTTATTAAAACTTATCTAATGTAAAAACAAAAATAATATAACTTTTGTAAAAAATTTTTTTTAAGAAAAACATAATTATATTTTTAAAAAGGATCAATAATTAATTAAAAATATATTTTTATGTTCTGTCTAAGGAATAGGAATTCCCTAGGTTTAAGTGTTCGCGATTTTATTTTGTGAGCTAAATTTTTCTAAAAACTAAAAGTTATAGGAGCGAACTGTCCATTGGTAGACGTTGCTATTGGGGAGAATATGAAATTCCTTTTGTATTTATTTTTTTAGTTTTTACTTGAGTAAGGTTGCTATTAATATTATTGGGAAGTAAGAGACACATGTATAATTATTTAATGCTCATATTTTCCATTTCTCTTTAAGACAATTTGTGAAATACAGTCATAATTTTAAAAATTTGAGCCAGGTCGAATAATGATCAAAAATAAAAATCCTAAACCAAAATATTTTCTTAAAAAATCCCTGGCTGGACTTGAAAAGAATTTTTTTTAACCTAGGCCGGGTTTAAAATTTTAATCAGTACAGAGGTGCCTGGTGTAAATAACAGAATGTCGAACTTTTAATATAAAGGTTACAAGAATTTTTTTATAAAGGTTCGGTTCAGGTTAAGTATATAAATTTTATAAAGGGTTCAGGTTCGAAAACCTCCAGATAAAGGTTCATCGAGACTCGGAAATAATTATTTTTAATACGAGATATCCATATTTTGCTTTATAAATAATTTAATCTTATTTTTTGATAAATATAAAGGAATAAGAAGATAAAACACTAGCTAATCCAAACTTTTTATTTTCAATTTTTATTTGTACATAAAATTATCATAATCTAATATATCTTTATTCAAATTTGTTCTCTGTGATGATGGAATATAATAAAATCTTTAAAATGTTCTTTAAACCTAACCGGATTGTCAATTTCTAATACCTAACCTAAATAATCTATAAAATTATGAAATACAATTTATAAATTTATGCACAAAAATTCGAAAATATTAAATGTACATAATTTACTAAAACCAGGCTGAGAATAGTCTTTAGCTAAAAATTCGGTTTCTCCATTTTTAGAATCGTAAGCTATTACTCAACTATATTAAGTATAAATTTGTGCTGATAGAAGGTTATACTATAAATTTATAAGAAATTAAATGTTGGAAATATAGATTACTTAAAAAATATCTTCTAACGAACGATATGTCGCTTATACAAACAAATGTGGAAAAATATGTCTAATCTTTTTTTATTTTTGTTTATATATCTAGAGGCTCAATCCTTAATTTATCAAGTTCCTTGTCAATTGTCCTAATTTCTTTATAAGCCCTGATATAATATTTTCTACGATTTTAATAATCAATGATTTTTGAATGATATCGCATATACTAGTAGTATATTATTTGCCTATACATTCTAATGAATTTTTTAAAAAAAATTTATCGGATCCAATAAGAAGTTTTCTTTTAAAGATTGATCCACTTTTCTGAATAATATTCTTAAAGAGATTGTAACTTTTATAAAAACTAATCAAATCTCTAAGTCTAAACATTGGCTATTGTTAAAATATATTCCGAGTAATTCACAAAAATTAATTGATTTAGACTTCCCACATAAACATTTATTAAATTAATTAATAAAGTAAATTCTCTTAGCTATTTTTCTAATTTTTTTTTTACCTAACTAATTTTACTTTTCTGAAAAAAAATACATATATCTTAAAAATATTTTTCACAAATTGTCCAAATCTCTATTCTGGTCACATATCCATTATTCAGAGTAGAGCAGTAACGTAATATTTATGAACTTTATTTTTTTTTGACATTTTTAATAGGTTTCTGATAACATTTTTCAAAATAATCTTTTTAATCTAACATCAGCTACTGTTATTATATAAAACATCAATATTTTCACCATGATCATCTTTTATATTTTAACCACCGCTACCCCTTCCTTTCCAGTGGAAGTGCCGCAATATGGAATATATATTACCTAGTTCGTTAAAATTTTTTGAAATTTTATTTAAAAATACCGGTCCACGATCTGACATTGTAACTCTGTAATAACAGAATTTTGTCCATAATTTTAAATATAATGATTTTTTAAAAATAAAAATAAAAGCGACGATAATGGCGATTGAATATAATATTTGTATATTTATAATAATATTGGCTGATGATTCGTTCTGTTAGCAACGTCGATTTTCTTCCGTAGGTTTTGACTGTTAGCTATCGAGTTCGTCTGATCGTATTTATACTTGTTCTATATTCCATGTTTCGGTAGATGGTTCTGGCAACCCTGAAATTAACGCAGTTTGTTTCTGTTCCGAATAGCGATTGCTGTCCTTCAATGTCCCTAATAACTTATTCAAGTCGGGTTGGTTTGGTTGGTAGAAAAGGGCTAAGTCAGTTTTTCCCCCGATCCATGTTTGCGATGGTTGTTCTGCTAGATTCTCGTCAGTTGGGATCCATTTTAATTTTGGTTTATTGCTGTGAAGTCTGGTAAACCCAACTTTCTGAGTATCTGCGTTATAACTATCTTGAGGAATAGGGATCTGGATCTTCCTTTTCTGTAAACGTAATAGGCTACTGAGGTATCTGTGAAAACGACGGGGAAGGGGGATCCCATCTTTGTTGATGGTTAGTAGAGCTTCCACACCTACCGCTAGTATCTCCTGGCGTTGATATGTAGGGTAGCATGGCTAGATATATTAAACATAAGGGTCGCTTGATACGTTATGGAGATATTATCTATCACCCAGAATGAAACTCCTATATGGTCGGACACGTCTGTATATACCGCATTGTTGGCTGGGTATCTTATGTATACTGGTGCTTGTAGTGCGTCTATGATTAGCCTTTTGAAATGCGAAATAGGTATCCACCACCCGGGAGAGGTTGGCATTATTCATAGTGATATAGTATGGCGAGAAAAGTCACCACATCAAGGTGATGGTATATGCGAAATGGTTGACAGCACCTAACACTCTTGCGGCTAATACAGGTGCTGGTATGAGTGGCATCTGAATATTTTGAGGTAACGCGCTAGGCGTCGTCGCATGTCGTTCTGTTAATTTTTTGGCTTGTGGTCATTAGGGATCCCCAAGTATGTAATGAACGGATTTGGGTCCAATATTGATTTTTAAATAGCGAGTTCTAATCCTCATCCTTATAAAGTGCACTTGAGTGATTTTATGGACCATTTCACATTGAATTCACTGTCCCCTTAAATTAAGATGTCATCAAGGTAAACATTATAGTTGGCCTTTCTGACTGTCTTAGAGCACGTGTCAAGTATATTCGATTGCAGACAATATGGGCTAAACGATGCTCCCATCGGGACCACTGTGTGTCTGTATATTTACCCCTCGAATCGCAATCCGAAGAATCATACGACGTGATGTTAAAGTGGTATGGAGAAAAAGATGTGATGTCTATTTAGCATGCAAACTTGGCCCTTTCGAGCTTTCCGGACAGCAGGACAGACTTGAGGCGGAACGGATACTTGAGAAAGTTTATTGACGTCTCGGGAAAGTCGCTGATAACCCTCGGGGATCCTTACGATTTGGGCATTATGTAAAGTGGGTAGCAAATTTAGTCAGCGTCTCTTGATTCTATAATGTTTTTGGCCAGTAATTGCGTATTGAACGCTAATAGCTATGGTGGTATCTAAAGTATCTTTCTCCGTTATCCCGTATTCTTGTGTGGTCCAGTCTAGGCCTAAATCCCCTGATTGCCACTACGCGGATGAAACTGGACATCAACAGCCCCACAGTAAGCCTGGATAAGCTTGGCGGATGCTATGTTTAAGGAGGGGCCGTTGGTGAGGTCAGCGTCTGTGTAGATCCTTCGTCCTCCGCGACTCACTGGTTATGTCGTTCATTGCCGGGAGAGCTGTAGATTCCACTTGGGGTGCACCAGAATCGTTGTAGTCTCCAAAAAGCTAGCTTTCCAGGGACTCCACGATAGATGTTACCTCTGCTTCAGAGCTGATTTTGCTGTCGCAAGACCAGGATGCTATAGGCGGATTTCGATCAGCCATTACTTTTTCTTGAAAATATTTATGTCCTTATTGATTTGCAATGAGGTCCATTATAATTCTGTCGCCTATATACCAGAAGTAGATGGAGCTCGGTTGTGAATATTTTTTGAGAGTTGAATTGCAAAATATAAAAATTATTAACAAGAATATAAAAATTTGGTTTAACAGAAAAATGGGCTTGGTTGCAAGAATTAGTTACTGGATAGGGTGCTGTAACCATTAGTAAAACAATTTTGATAAGTGTTTCATTTGTGGGATGGATCTCCAAGTGTAGACGTGAGGCGTGAGGCCTTATACGTAATCTTGGAAGTATTAATTAGCAACAAGGTGGCTGAATGTTGAATCAATGTCTATTGGTCTGATATCTTTGTTAGTCTTATATAAGTCAATAAGTCTAACTGCTAAAATAATGAGGGAGGCAAATCTGGGAACATTACCATAAAAGATTTGGTTGTACAAGTTTGTGATTTTAGAAGGGATAGATGTTTTTGAGCTAGTAAATAGATATCAAGGCCGTGCGTGAGCGGAATCTCGGTGGAAAGATA